TAACACACAAATAGATTCCATACTATATATATATATTTTTGCATTCTTCACAACACTCTTATGTTTGAAATACTGTACAGTATATAGTTTTATTCATACACGATTTCTTAATTCTTAGCATTCAGCAGATAGTATATTACAGCATCTGTATACTCTTGGTAGGATGCTTGTCTACCAGCACTATGTTATTCCACAGTGAAAAAGTACTGCACACCTAACAGTGGACAAAGAACAAAGTCATTCTTCCACTCTAGTCAGGAATTAAACCCTCGATCATTTACTTGGGAGACATTAACTACAGTACCACTATATACATTCTGGATAGTATTTATATTTCCCATCTCAAATTAATTTAATGACTGACAGACATAAGAACAATCTGTCCAACAGTAAAATATATCAACTAGTCCTGACAGACAACCTCTTTAATACAGTAGCTTCAACAAACCTTACCTCAAGACCATACTTGTGCACACCAGCCAATAATCCACACATCTTTATATTATACAATTCCTCGGATAAAGTGCTGCAGCTTGTTTAACATCATCTTGATTATTAACTTATCATTTAACACATTTTAACTGCAGTATGAGTATGAATCTTTTTGATATGTGAAACAGCCCTCCCCAAATCTGACGTGTAATAAATAGGACGTGTACTAATATACCCCAATCCCCCTAAGCAATATATGTGGAGAAGCATGATTTTTATTTTTAGTCAATGTTATGTTTGATATCACGATCATCGCCCCTCAACAAATGGCATATGAAAGACTAGTACTTAATAAGATGGCTGTGTTTAAAGTTCCTCAGTTTGTAACACTATTCCACGTGAGATCAACATCGTGAGCCTACAAATGCTCGTTCCTTCCCAATAATCAACAACAGTCCAATTTACTAATCGAGGGGATGTCTTAAAAGCCTCATATACGAGACTCGGCTTTTAATGAATCACAATAAGTTCAAAGTCAAAGCTCAAGTTCACTTCTATAAATCCACCACTAACCAAAAAACTGTTAAGGAACTTCTTACATCCAGCCACTGAAAATAAAGATCCCTGAGACAGTCTAATCTGCCTAAAGAATAAATTTAAACCCTTGGCACATTCATAAGTGTAATCTACACATGATAACATTCAACCTGGTAATATAAATAAAATTTTCTAATTAATAAAATAGAATATCCAGTACAAGAAGACTAATTAACAAAAATTTTTCCTTCGGAAAATAAGATTCTTTAATGACAAGTCAGCCATATTATAAGTATTCTAATACAGTATTATCTTCAAATCCTCAACTAAAGCATGAGCAATTCTAAGACTGCCAACCACTCTGACTGACAAATAATTGGTCAGAATTTCCTAACAATTTTAAACACTATTACAGTTATTATCAATAGTCCATCATCGCCTTTCTCTGGCTGGCTAATTCTGATGCTCGTCCAAGAGATCTTCTTATCCTCTTCTCTGGAAGCTCCGAGGTTTTGTTGGCAGCATTTTCCAGTTGCCTCTTATTGCTAGGGGTTTCTGCAGTGCCGACGCTGGTCTCCAGGACGTCAACGTCTCCGCTTACGGTAGACGTGTCGGCTTCGTCGGAGACATTGGTTACCTTTCTCTGTGGCCCGAGAACACCATTTTCTTTAACTTTTACCAAAGAGTTAGCATTTGGTAAATTTTCCTTATCACTGTTTTCTTCTTCAGGTTTGCCTTTCACTTCCCCTTCTCTCACAAGGAGTGCATCACCCTGCACCTCTATGGTGTAACTCACACACCCACCAGAAGACAAGGGTGCGACTCTCTCAGCAACAGACACCTCATCTACACAAACACTTTCTATGGACCTTCCTTCAGAACCACTGTAATGTCCATAACTATTACAAGTACTATCTGCTGTCTTATCCATAAAATTGTCCATATATGCATCAGTAACTTTGAACATATTTTCCGTAATCTGTTCACTCACGACGTCCGTTCCGTCGTGTGGAATGTCGACCAGAATTTGACTATCCCACAGTGAGCTATTCCCTATGACAGGATGGTTAACAAGGATACAATCTAACCACTTATCCTCTTCACTGCTAAGCTTCACCCGCCTCATCACACCCTCGTCACTCTCTTCACAATCCACGTCTTTGGTTACAGGCAACTCCTCCGATTTATTTTTCTTGGCCGGTTTGTCCTTTTTACGTGAAATCTTGTCCTTCTTGGAGACTTTAGCATTGACAGAGCTTGATTTTTTCTTCGTTGCTTTGGGTTTGTTGACTGTATCTGAACCTACTGTCTTCTTCTTGGGGTTTACCACTTTCTTCACTTTCTTGCCCTTTTCACTACTTGCCTCTAAGCTTTGCCCGGTTTCCCCCTTAGAAAGCTTTAATTTTTTCTTACCCTTTAATGAAGTAACTTTGTTCTTGATATCCACTGCCTTTTTAGTTTTCTTGACCTTAATACCGGTCACCATTTTAGCCTTTTTCTTGATCTTTAAGACATTATCGGTTTTATTCTTCACACGTTGCTTCTTGGGTTTCAGCTTCAAATTGCGGCGCTTTTCATCCACGACGCCATTGTCAGGAAACACCAACTTACGCTTTTTACTTTTAATTTGGCCGTTACTGTCTTCCTTCTTGACCCTGGTACTATATGTACTTGTTAGAAGACCAAGAAGTTTATCAAACTCTTCCCAGCTCTTTGGTTGTTTACATCTCTTCTTAAGCACTGGGCTGCCGTCCCCTTCTTGAACTTCGGCTTCACTCTTGGGGTAATCTAACACTACAAAGTCTTCTTCCCCGAATTTTGGTTTATTTAAGGAGCCAGGAGGTCGGCCACGCCTTTTCTTCTTCTTGAACAGAACATTCTTCTTCAATGCAACATCATCCTTTGATACAGTTTCTGCAGACCCCAACACTTTCATCTTGGGAACAAAACCACTGCTGTGAGCTTGGGCTTGTGTCAGTTCCTTCACCTTGGCTTCCTTCTCCAACTCCTTTTGACGCTCCAGTCGTGCTTTCTCTCTCTCCAATTCCCGCTTTTTTCGTTCCTCTTCGCGGCGCAGTTCTTCCCTTTCCTTCATCTCCTGCGCGGCTTCGTGTCTTCTGGTCTCAAAAATGTCTTCCCAGTCCAGATCACTTTCAGAGTCGGACTCTATCTCTGATGCCGATTCTGTTTCTGAACCAGAGCCTGAACCTTGTGACCTCTCCTTCACCAACCCTCGACTCATCAGCTCTCGCCAAGTGGGATAACCGTGACAGTCAAAAACTTCATTATGAATAATTTGCAAAAGACGATAGTAAGATATTTCAATCTTTCTGGATGGGTACTCATATTCCTTCTTATAGCCTAGATACAGGTATTCGTCATCCTTCATCGACACCACTTCCTCTCCCCGGGAATTTGCGGTCAAATTTGGCTCCGGTTTGTATAAGTCGGTGTCCCGGAAAACTTCGATAATGCTATCCTCCAAGCATATCGTATCTTCTAGTCCTTCAAAGTCCAAAATATCATCAACATCCAAACTATCGCCAAAACTCTCCAACTCGGTTATCTTATTGTGCACATCATCGTGTTCATTAACCGGCAGAAAGAAGATATCAGGCACTAAATCATCTTCATTGACATCTTCCTCTGCATCTTTCAAGGCATCAAGTTCGGTGTGCATCACAACATCTTCAGTTACACTCTCCACGTCACTCTCACTGACATCATATATCGCAGACTGACGGGGCCAAGACTCGCCAAGTAGCGCCCACGACTCAGCCTCCTGGAAAACACAGGGATAATGGGGAATTTCAGCCTTGTGTCACAATTAATGATGTCCCATGGCATTAATGCTCAGCTAAATCAATGAAAAAACAGCAACCACCACTCCATTCACCCATCATTCAGTTTCCATCCATATGAAAAATTTTGGAAAACAAGTCTTCAAAGCTTTAACTGAGCTGCCATGAGTATACCAAGACACAGCTGTCCCCCACATCCCATGTGATTTCCAAGGTGCCACCCTATGCCACCCCAAAATTTGAAGAATCTCCTTGTACTTATGACTATGCTTCCACCACTTTCTAGTAAAATACAAACATAAAACATAAAATGAACCTGGGGCAAGACACCAACACACACCATCCTATGTGAAATACCCACTTAAGCAAACAAGCAGTAGTTGGCTATTAATGCACCAAGAACTTAAGTTACACTACAAAAGAACTGACTAGTTACTCTGCTCAGATGGGCGAGTGTGTTGTATGGTGTGAGGCCTCGACCACCCCCTTTCGAGCATTGTTTATGGCACCTTTGGGCAATCACATAGGACAGAGGGGTAGTTACAGAGAGTAAACAGGTCCAAGGGATAAGAGAATACTACAAATACCAGACAAAATTTGGCAAATTAAATAATGAGTGAATAAATGGTGAAACTCCCACTCAAGCCAAAATGTCATATAAACCCTCATTATAAAATATTTTACTGAAATCATTGAATGCCAGTATTTGATCAAGACAATCTCGCTAAAAAGTATTATATACTGCATCTCAAGTGTGCTCGCTTCACACAAAAGGAAAAGTAGGGTGAGGTTAATTCGATTCTCACATATGATCTGCATTTACACATTTATGTCGCATTATGAACAATCATGAAAGCTATGTGAGCTTTGTTAAAATGGCCCCATATGCAACAATACACAGGTTTCATTTTCAACATCAGAATATTTACTGAAGTGCCAATACTGAACTATTAAATCCCACTTTTTGTCAGGTCTTCTTTAACATGCATCAAGAAACTGAGGCACCAACTTTATAAAAAAAAAAAATAATAATTTTTATTTATATATATATATATATATATATATATATATATATATATATATATATATATATATATATATATATATATATATATATATATATATATATATATATATATATATATATATATATATATAATGTTTTCAAAAGTACTGATACTCAACCAACAAGCCATTAAAATCTAAACATGCACAAGAGAAGACACTCACCCATGGACGGTCTGGTGTGGGCTGGCAGGTGTTGTGGGCTGATGGTCCAAGGCACTCCAAGTGGTAATAGTTGCGGCAGTCGGAACATCTCAGGAGAGAGTCCGCTCCCGGTGCACCACAAACCTGACACACCGCACACCTCCGGCATATCCAGAACACTTCCTCCGCCTCCGACTCCGGGCCCTCGCCATCTTCCAAGCAGTAGGGATGGATGCCCTCACAACACCATGCACAGTACAGCAGCTACATGAAAAGAAAAAATATATACGTACATTTAATTCTGCCATTCACCCTAATCCCACGCCATTTTTGTGTGAGGTAGATCATGAGAGAAAGACCTAAAAAAATAATTCTACCTACAATACTCCAGGCAGAAACATATTACTTTACCCTCTCGACTCACCTTCCACATTTCCTCCTACAAGGTTTCCCGTTCTGCCCAATACACCTGTTACATTACCACGTGCCTCTTGATCCACATTACCACCTCCCATAACCTAACCTAACCCCTGAAAGGTGTATAAACAGGTGAAATAAGCTAGGGGGATAATTTTCAGGTGAAACAAATTACATACTAATAAGCTTTTACCTTCATTTCATTATTAGAAGCTGAGTAAAACATACATACATACACACATACAATACAGGCATACATACATAGTCTCACACACACAAGACACAGTCACAGCAATTCTTCCCCTTCTTATATCACCTAATACAGGGTGATCAAAAACTTGCCATACACTGAGGGAAATTATCCATTTTGTCTGGAGTGATATCACACGTTACGCCGCTTTCAAGCATGTCGAGATGTTGGTGGTAATCACTTTGAATGTTTATTATAAGTTCCATATTATATTCAGGTGTTAACAAGAGTACAGGATATTACAAAATATAAATAAGACTAATAGGCTGTAACTTTTGGATCGCACTGTACTTACAATCTTGTATGACTATCTCAGGTAAAGGCTAATAACTGGCTATCTTAGGTAAAGGCTACTGAAGGAGTATTACCTGTTCCTTTCCCACAGAGCCACAGCGGAAACACAGAATTTGTGGGTGTAAGGAGGAAGCTGTGGTCACCGGGTAGCCTGTAAGCATCATCTCGTCAGCATCGTAACCCTGCCAGTAGTCGATGTTAACCAACGCTCCTGGCACAAACTGTTTACCTGCGGCAATGTCCCCACGATCCTGTAAAAAATTGCAAAGTTAAGGTGGATAGGAATTTTTGTATTAAAGTGATAGACATGCAGACAAGTGAAAAGATCATTGGTATTTTAGATTGTCTTGGGAAAGCCAGCTGGCATATCACGTTGACAACTAGATCGAAACTTTCACAGTATCGTTCGCGCCCAATTAAATCTTTCACGGTATCGTTCGTGTCTAATTATTTAACCTATATTAGTCTTCAAATACAAAAAACTAGTATTTTAATATGAAAAATGGTACTGAATAAAAATACCTCTAAATTTACAACCGGATATCAAATGTATGTTGAAGAGGAAAGCAAAATTCTAGATCTATTCTTTTTGTTACAGAGAATGCAGTGGTAGGTACATCACATATACTGCTTATATTTGGTAACAACAAAGAAAGCATCACCTAAAGAATACACACCAGCTTATTTGACCTCAAGATTAGCCACCATAATCGTACCTGGGTGATTTAGAGTAGGTAGGATCACATTAGGGTCGTAAGTCTTCAGGTGAAATAAGCTGGAGGGGCTAAACTTCAGGTGAAATAAGCTGGAGGAGCTAATCTTCAGGTGATCCAGTAGAAGTCTGAAGAATTTTACAAACCTTCTGGTCAGGTTGGGTACGAGTCATTTGTCTCGGCACAAATACGCCCTTCTCCTGCATAAGTGATTTTGCGATAGTATCATTTGACACCAACGGTATATCGGTTTTTTCCTCTTGTACTTTCACAATGACGATTGGACCCTTGCGCGTCTCTTTGATCGTGGTCGGAGATGGAGCTGCTGTCGGGGTAACTTGAGGTGGCAATTTTGAACTGGTACCCTCCTGACTAATGGCAGACTTCACCGAGAGCCTTGGGTTGTGGCACTTCCTCATGCTGCGGAGACGAGGCACAATGTATCACCGGCCCAGAGTATGAGCAGAATCCTTGATTCTCTTATATTATCCTGCTTTGAATTTTCACAACACAGGATATGGCTAAATCAAGGGAAAATAAATGTCATATCATAAATGAAAGCCTTAGAAGTGAACTCAAACAACTTATTGAGTGAAGGTTAAGGATGAACACAAAACTAGAAGCATAACAACGAACGTACTTTTGAAGCAACTATGTAAGAATCATTAGATAGAAACAGACAGACAGAGATACTGGACACCCTAATACATACACGCACGGCTTCTTCTTCGTCCCAGGTCCTCCGTATTTCTTCATATCCAAACAGTTGACACACTTGAGGCAGTTAGGAGTAGTGCATCCCGGACACTTATTACACCACTGAGTCTTCCGCAACACCTGAACCACAACACACGGGGTCAATTTTCCGTAATTCATAAACAATACGGGACACCCCATTGAACACTCACAGTCTAGACCCCCCCCCCCTCCCCAAAACACACACATATACATATTCTTGACTTAACCCAATACTCTACAATCCTCAAACAATAGTGCAAGGTCCCAAAGAGACTAACCTAACATGAATAAAAAGTCCTTATTCCTGATTTAAACCATCACCTATTAGCAACATCCAAGGTGTCTCATAGGTGGCACGTCATAGGAAAAGTAATATTCTCGTTTTTCTTTTCGTTTTCAAGTGAGGAAATCACTGGAAATCAACGAAGACGGCTGGGACACTAACACCAGAGGAAAGAGGCTGTTTAATATTTCACGTACGGAAAGTCAGATGTTACACACTAAACAAGAGAGAGTTTAATCAACAACCCCCCATTCTTTAGCAACTGATCAGTGTGTGTAGCATTTAGCATTCTGTACATGAAATATTTAACTGCCTCTTTTCTCCAGTTTAATTTATCTACCATCTTCGTTTTGTTATGATTTCCTTTCCTGAAAAAAAATATAAATACATATCCTTACGCATGACCTATGAAACATCCTGTTCAGAACAATATACACTTTCCTAACAATAAAAAGTACAAACAATAATGACCAAACTACTACAGTTAAGTATCTTGTATTCTAACTTTGTACCAATTCTTGACTTCACCTTTCATTAATTCAAAATCTAAGACACTGTACATGTATTATCCATATTAATAATTATATATGTAAAGAACAATACGGTGCAGGGGTCGAAACTTACACTTGTCTGCTCACTAAATGCATGAAAAGTCAATTTGGGCCGGTGCAATTTCTCATCTTTACGGTCCGCCTGGTGGTTAAAAATTCATAGGATGTTCACAACAAAAGCCAAATTTTGAATATAGAGGAATTACACTTACATTTACAGGGTACAGTATCCCAACAAAGTACAAACACATTGCCAAGGGGCATCTGTAATTCTTTTTTATTTGAATGAAAACCAATAATGAATTTTCAAACAGTTTTCTTCTTTATGGTAATATGAGCCAGAAGCATCAATATACAGGCTGGGCAGGTAAACTTTGTCCAGTTGTGCGACAAAAGGAAGAGTTTCGACCCCTGTAGTCCAGGCATTGGTATATGATGCATCACTTCTTAACATAAAGTCAATGGCATAATGCTCCCACAGTATATGCTCTCACTCCCTCTCTCTATTAAAAGTATAACTGACTTGTTCTGTATTTTGCTCATTTGTTTTCCTGAAACATAAACGACTAAAAAGATATTTGCAAATGGAGAATTTTGAATTAATTGTCTGAGGTACAACCACATGGAACAACCATCAGGCATTGGCATGAGAGACAGCAGACCTTATAAACCAGAGCAATAATTAATTACTGTAGTATATGTGACTTATTCTTCAAACAAATTAAAAAGAACATTATGAAACACCACACTACTACTACCTTGCCACTTGCTGTTGTGGTCACTGTGACAATTTTACGCTTCTGATTTCCTTTCGTGACGGGGGCACTGGCAGTGACCACTAACCGCTCATCCTCCTTCCTTGGTGATGGAAATACAGCGCGGGGAATACCTAAAACCTGAGATTTAAGACCAACATTAAAATTAACTGTGAGAACCAATCCAAAAATTTCAGTATAATTTTAATTTTACATCAACTCAAAATAAAAAAAATCAGTATATTACCTCATTTTTTTAACTACTGTTCTATATAACACTTGAAAATTATTTAAATATTAGTAACTTTAATAACATGTTACAACCTTATTTGCTTAATATTATCCAGTCTTTAAGTAAACAATGTCTGGCTTACAACATTTCTACAACTGTTAGCTGCAAGACACTCACCTGAGCTTGACTACGACACACATGCTTGACCCGCGGGCCACCAGCCTCATTGGTGGTCTCTTCGCCATCCTCGGTTTCTGATTTCACCGAGGATTTTGCTTCTTGGGTGGTAACGACAATTATCTTCCTCCCAATCTTGCCGAGCTGAGGTATGTGCTTCCTCGTATCATCAGAGAGAGGTTGAACTGGTCCGGAACTCTTAAAGGCCGGGTTTGGAAGGGTGATGATTTCTTCGGTGATGTTCTCCGGGATACCCTTAAGAACGGGCTGCCCTCCACTCTTCAGAAAATACTTGATCCCTTTGGTTGTTCTCGTCCTTTTAGATTCCTCACCAGAAGCACACGAGTCTTCGGATGTCTTAACAAGAGCTTCACTGTCTGAATATTCACTAGCCTCGGATGATTGAGCCGAGGTGGAGATAACGACCGCCGGCGTTAGTCTCTCCGTCATGGGGAATTTACTAACTTTATCGGTTTCTGAAGACGTGGTGACCTGGTCTCTCTTGAGGACTGGTGGAAAGTAAAAGTCAAGGTCTACTTTCGTTTTGCCGGCTTTCTTGAAGTAAGCGAGCAACTCTATCCGAGACCTAAACGTCTGACTGTCGGGACTGTGCAAGAGAGCCACTTTACCCTCTCCCTTGTCATTCCATCTTATTTTTCTGGACCAACCGCTACCAAAACGACATGTCTGATACCTTGAAAGCTTTTTGGGCTTGGATTTGGGTTTGATTTCAGGTACTAATATAGCATCAGGCACCACTTCCCCCTCGGATGCATTAGGTGACGATACTTTGGAATCAATGGACATGTCAACCAATGCATCCGACTCCGCATCATCGACATCCTCCACCTGGCCCGGACAAAACAGTTTACCCTGAGCCTCGTTCACTGGTTTATTTGTGCTAGGTACGTGCATCAACACTCCTGGATTTGTATCTTGCGTAGTCGCCGTGACATCTTTAGCCGTCTGCTGCTGCACCGCCGCCACTTTGTCACTTACAACTACAGTCGACACATTTGCAACAATTTTATGCTTATGTCTATGCTTTTTACTTACAGGTTTGATTGCCTTCTTGGGTATTTTTAAAACTATTTTAGGATCTGTTTTTTTGTCACTCACTTCAACTTCTGGCTTTGTCAATACAGGTTCCTCCTCTGTTGTCTTTTTACGCTTTCTGCCCGGGGGCTTTTTCGTTACCTCAGCCTTTTCCACGACGGCATCGGGTTCTGCAACACCAAAATCTTTAAAGTCCTCGACAGGAGTTTCTGCTTTTAACTTGTCCTCGGTTACTGGTGACGGACTATCTATCGTTTTAGCTTTGCTCTTCGACCTACTTCTAGAGAAAGCCTTGGTAAACATTGTACTAGATGCTGATTTTCTTTGCTCTGATTCACTCTCTGTTGTGTCTGTGAAACTTGCATCGCCTTTCTTTGTCTTTCTACCAACTGACAGAGACCTGCTTCTCATGATCACCTTCGTCTTTTTGTGTTTTCGTTCCACACTTTTGCCTTCGGTTGTTACGTCAGTTGAGCTCGCCTGGCCTGCAGGTTCCTCCTCACTGTTGTCTGTGGCCTTCAACTTACTCATGGATTTACTTCTGGATGGCCCCTGATCTTTGTGGTTCTTTAATTTAAGTTGTTTGATGTGAGTCAACCTGGGCATTTCATTTTTGGCATCAGACTTTTTACTTTTGGGTTTAGGTATATCAGTCTCACTCTCTGACACATCTGGAGACTTATCATCAGAGCTGACTTCTGAACAAGGCTCTGAACTTGACACCGGTTCAGTGCTGGAGGAGCCTGGGGTGTCACTAGAGCTGGGTATTGAAGCGTCAGAATTACCGGTCACTACAGGAAAATACTTGTGGATATCATCAACTTTTCCAATGAGATGAAAGTAAGCACTGAGCTCTCTTCTCGATCGGAAAGTTCTGCCATCCGGGCTATACACGTAAGTATCAAAACGATCGCCGGCCGACCTCCACTTTATTCTACGGGTCCACCCTCCAGGCAACATCGTCATTACAACTTTCCCTCGTCCACTGCTGTTTGTCTGGCCAGATGGTCGAGACTTTACCTCAGTGCTTCGACCTACCGCTGGACTGTTATTACCAAAGAGAACACGTGCATCAGTGCTTATGCCTTGCTTTTTCAGAAACTCTTCCAGTTTTTGTACACTCTTGAATTTTTCTCCACTAGGACTAATAACGATCACTTCCGGCCCCGTTTTGCGTCGCCATCCACCGGGTAAATCCATGACTGATCCAAATGCCCCTCCCCCTCCAGGATCTAAAGGTAACCTCTTAGTGTGACTTGCCAATTCTGCGTCCTTCTCCGAGATGGCCGGTAAACCCCCAATGTTCATACATCGAGCTAAGCTAGTTGGTATTTGCTCCTTCAGCATGGGCGGTAAGCGTTTACGGAGACGATCGTGAAGAAGGTTAGGCATGGAACACGAGAGGAGTATTCTGGACATCCAACAAGCAGGGCAACGATCTTCTTCCACTAGGCCTTGTATCTGACATTCCCCTTTGCTCCCCTCACACTCAAAAATTTCTCTCGGACCATCACTGGAATTGCCAAGGAAGTCGCTGCAGACCCCACAAAACACGATACCAAACTTTCGCGAGTTTCCACCAGCTATATCACAGATGGTACACTTCCCCTCCACACTCCCTGAAAGTATGGTACAACACATCACAATACATTCATTAAAGACATAAGTAAAGGGGAATATAGTTCCTCAGTGAGCGCAGTTTTCCCAGAGCATTACAAAGCCACATGCCAGTAACGTCTGGGCCAGTTTACATGTAGACTGGTTCAATACCCCTGCGCGACTCATCATAAAAAAAAAAAAAAAACTACAAAGCTAATTTATACAGTACAGTATCATACATATTACACAGTATCATATATCATCCTGGGACCACCATAAGATTCTCCCCCTTCCCCGACCAGCTTATTTCCTGCAAAGATTAACCACCCCAACGACACGGGGGGGAATGAGGTTAAGTGCAGTTAGGTTAGTTTATCATTAGGTGGTTAATCTTTAGGTTCAATAGGGTGGTGGTAGTGGGGGGATAACTTCAGGCAGTCCTCATCTTGTATGGGGAAACAAAACACACGTATAACAGTAAAGTTTTAAAGACTCGTAAGACTCACCCTCATCACACAACGGAATAAGTCTCTGGAGGGATACTGGATTGCGAATTTTTTGGAGGGTCGTTTTGTTAAGGTTGAGGCGCGCCTTTCTGAGGATGTTGCGGGAGATGGCAGATGCTGAGAGGGCGGGAGAGGTACTGGTGGCGGGAGCTGGCATCAATTCATCACCCTCCATCTTCCCTCCCTGTGTGAAAATGACAATGTTAAAACTGTTATAGTTTTGATCCTGGTGAGAAAAAGGTTAACATTCTGCATCTCAGTTTAAGTGTGAGGTGCTCCAAGCAAGACCAAGTCAAGTGAACAAAACAGTTTAACATTTGTTTATTATACTATATTATTTCAATTCTGCTTAATTTTAACTTGTGTTTTCTGGCATCTCATTATTTTGACAATGATCTATTCTTCACCCAGTGTCTAATCTTTGCTGTAACTGTACTGTCACCAACTATTAACTTTCTCAATTACATATTTTAATACAGTAAACTAACAAAAGTGACCCAGAGCTGGTAGTGCCAACAAGGGCAGCTTGGTGTTGGCCAGGAATATCCTCCCACACTCATGGTTTCACCAACAATGGTTCTAGTCTATAATTATATACTATACTATCCCTATAAAACTCAGCTTTAAGACACTGTATGAGTAGTGAATTATTGTTTATGCTATTAATACAAGGGCTGGCAATACTGTATTAAGAAATTCAATATGCTTTATAATGACTTAAATTCCTAACCAAAAGTAGAAGTATAATTACAGTAATACTCAAAAGCCTGTTAGCAGCAAATTCAAGAAGCCTGTACCTGTACTGTGCAATGCAATAGTCAAAATTCATGTCTGATACAGCTCAAACCTTATTTTCTTTAACATAGAGCCATTACATAGGCTTCTTACTACTGTACCCCTAAGTTCTACCCAAATGCCCTCCACCAAGTCTGTTCAGTCAAAGCTTCTCCTCCCCTAACTTTACCTAAGTGCCCTCAACCAAGTGTAAACAAATAATGGCAGTAAAATAATATATGAAATGGTCTTTTAGAGAGGTACCCTGGAATTGAAACTCTAATGGGCATACAGACAGACATCAGATCTGACAGAACCCACACCTACACCCCCATACCAACTTTATCGTGGAGGATAACAATACACCCAGATGATCAATAAAAGTATAAGTGAATTTCAACTGAACAAATGAAACAAATTATACCCCTGTACATAGCCAAGAAGCAGCACACAAGACCTGTTTGTTTTATAACCCGACAAAGACACACTACACAGCGGACTCCAACTAGATCCACTTCCCCAATTAGTACACAGTATTTATCTCCCCTTATCACCTCCATGCCCTTAAAGGAATGGGCCTCAAGATAAACACACAATATACATATAAGACACTGTACAAAGATAATGGCCTCGAGTATCATATATTATCATGGTCATTAACCTGGGAAGGGGGGGGGGGATGAAGGGGGACCTGTAGAACCCAAAATAAGTGGCCACATACAATTAGAGTATTTTGTTTTACCATGAAATAAAATACTGGAATATATACTACTTATAAAAATGTACCAGAGAATAAATTATAAAATATTTTTGACCCTTCTAGTGCACAAATTCAATAAGTTTATTATATAATCGTCATTTAACATTACTTTACCATACAGAAACAACTTATACTGTACATAGAAGACTAACACATCATAATGCCTTATAAATACGACAATGCAGAACTGTCACTGAAAATTTGACAAACATTACAAAATTAAAAGCATGATGACTGCAACAACACCTAGTTCATTACAGAAAATAAATCTGTACCTACATAAATAGCACAGGAAAGCTAATTACATAAATTGCCTCACTAAACAACCCTACATAAGCTGCCTAGGTGAGTTCACACGTACACAAATATTTACATACACTGCCTTGTACATAGTAAATGAATCATATCACCTGAACATTAGGCACCTCATCTATTTTACCTCATGATTAGACACCTTAATGCTACCTGGGGGATTAAGTTAGCATCGGGATGGATAATCTTAAAGTAAAATAAGCTGGGGTGTCTTATCTTCACATGACTATCCAGCTCTCTTACCCCCCTGGCAGCTGTGTGTGTGAATGGCAATTCACTATTCAGTCTATTTATATGATACAGTGAACACCACTAAAGGTTATCAAAAAGCCATTACCTCCTATCAATAATCACTGGCTCACCCGAAGAATACTCCCCACAGGTTATGAAGGTAGCAACTTGTAGTGTTACGGTGGTTAACATGAAGATGAAATAAGCTCGGGGGATAATCTTCAGGTGATCATATTGATTTCCTGAGAACATCATAATATACAGAAGTTTAATACAGTATGTGGATGAACAATTAAATGATAGCTTCTCCAACACCCTGATCATTATCTTGTGCAAGACGGTCGCAGCAGCAGCATCATCGGTGGCCTCGAGATTAACATTACAACAAGAGAGACAAAAGTGTATATTTATCTGAATACTGTATTACATCTTTCCAGGACCCAATTAACTTTATTCTAATACCAACAAAAACTGGATCACAAGAACATTCAGCTCCCTTAACACTATCACACACAAATATTGTTAGGGTGCCTAATGATCATGTGAACTCAGCTGGGGTGTCTAAATATCACATGAGCCCAAAGAATTTAAATCACAATCCTATCAGATTCACCCACAGGACCAGTCGCCCTCCTCAGTCTGTTGCATATAAAAATAAATACAGTTAATGGTACACAACCTAAAACAGCTGCCACAAACAGACATATGAGTAATCCTTTTATTGTTTCATCACCTCAAAATATTTGTTTAAACTGTGATATTTTGTTTAGACTTTTGGGGACAATTGTATGTATGGTACAGTACAATCTAGGGTACAGGAGTTAAATGTATAAATTTAACAGTACAGTCTAGAGTACATAAGTTAAATGTATAAATGTTGCAGTACAGTCTAGGGTACAGGAGTTTATGTAGTGCATCAGTTACATCCAGGAAATAATTTAAAGAGAATGAATATGAAATTAGGGTTTGTCTTCAGGTTACAACACAATACATTTTATTTAAACTTACATATTTCACAACAAAATATTAACAGCTCTCCAACTTCACAATGCATATATCATGAACACTGTGACACATCTGCGATTCACTCAATTTGAATCACCTTACGATTAGACACCCAAACTTATTTCAACTAATGGATAAACACATTAACATTAACCTAACCTCCTCCAAGGTACACTATGGTGTTTAATCCTCAGGTGAAGGAAGTTGGGGTGTCTAGACTTATGGTTAATACAATACCTTGTCAAATTTGTTTTACAATAATACCTTAATATCTAATCACTACACTAAACAGGTTTTGTACATACTAACAAGTTTGTACAAAATTGTCTTATAGCTACAGCCTACAAATAACACTGTACAATATTGTACTCAGTTCCTGTAAAGAAAAAAGCATTTATTACAGTATGTAATATACGTACCTTTCCAGTTTGCTTTAGTCTGTCATCCCATGGAGAACGCAATAGCTTTTCTATTTTCTCTTTAACTCTGGACTCTTTAGGGTCACACCTCTGTGGAGAGTCAGGAAGTTCTGCCTCATCTTCCTGAAGAGGAGCTTCAAAGCGACGCAACAAACGCTTCGGAGGCCTCCCAACCTGTCCTTTACAGGGCCCCGTTATGGACTCCGTGTAACGGGAAATAGTTCGTCTCATACGATCACGCCCCACACCTTCCGTCCCAGATAAAGAGTTCTTGCCCTGTGCACGTGAGCGAGGTAGAGACAGGAACTGTGTGTGAGAACCACGACCTTTGCGAGTCAGCTTAACAAGTCTCTTACTTGGAACACTTATACTATCCTCGCCTGCTTCAGGACTCCCGTCGGCCATGAGTGAACTGCTAGTGGAACACATTTCCGTAATGTCTGCAAATAATCTTTTGTTTGGTTTGATAATTCTCGATGACCTCACACTCATTGTTGGCAGTATAAACCGTTTTGGACTTTTTTCTCCAACCACCGGGAGGGACGGCGCTTTCTTCTTCGCCTTTGCTAATAATTTCTTTGCTAAAGCAGTTTTAACTGTGGGTGGTCTACTTATTCTATGATTGGTCTGTTTTCTACTCAAATGGCTCATGGTGGCAACCACCATGGTCTTTGTTCCCTCTACACACTGATCACTTTCTATGGATGAGGATGAGGATGAGGGCGGAGCTTCACTCACTGTTTGGATATCACTCACAGGTTCCGCTTGCTCTGCCTCTTTGTCTGTTCTTCCTCCACTCACTGGTAAGTCTTTCTTTTTTTCTGCACTCACTCTAATTTCCTTCACTGCCATTTCCACAACACTCGTCCTCCTTCGAGTCACTAAACCCTCATTCTCCAGAACTGCACAAGCCTCCTCCACTTTTTGTGCCGCCCTCTTCCCTCCCCTACGCCTTGGCAGTTCTGGAGTATTTGTTTCTGTTGTTCTGACCTCCCTTGGCTCGGGGCAACTCGATAAAAAACCCTCAAAACCATCTTCATCCTGAAAAACCAAGAGTAAATACATTATTTTAAAATAAAACAAAGATTATGAGGGTTCACAACACGAGTGAGCAGAGATGAAAAAAATAAATAAAATCTAATTCAAGGTTTTTTTTTATGATTTATTTCAAACAAGTAACTAGTACGTATGTAAAGATATATTAAGACATTTAGATTCATTTTAAATTTTAACTGCAGCAATTACATATAGGTATCAGTTAACAATAAAAGCTAACATGTAATTATCCTAACCCTATACCAGGATACCTTGGTTGTATTTCATAATTCCATGCAATTTTATCCATACACAGTTACACCCTAGCTAACACAAGTAACACGAAACTTCCACTTACAATGGTTTCAAGATTAGCCCAACTCGGCTTATTTCACCAGATGATTAAACACCCTAATGCTACCAGAAGGGGTTAGGGTGGTTTATCTTTATGGGTGAATTAAGCTGGTGGGGCTCATCTTTAGGTGATCCTTAAAAACTTGGTTAAATATTTGTTTTAATGTAATAAATGTAAACCTGTATACTGTATTAAGCAAGATTAAATTATGGTTAAAAATTAGTACTGAAGAACACAAGACCACCCAAGCCAATAATTTAGTTAGTTCTTGTGGTCTGGTTACTACACACTGAGCACTAGCAGGGCATAATATCAATTTACCAAAGGAACAGAAGCAATTGTGCCATAGGCACCTGATAAGTTTTGGGGGATCTAGTTTATAGAATATTTGTTACTCGAATGTATTCGTAATTACTTTAATCAATTAAGAAAGACAAATCACACTGTTCTTGAAAGAGCAAGTAGAACAAGACCTCCATGACTTTGACAAATTAACACAATCACCACCGAGTTATTTTTGTTAGAGTAAAAAGTTCAGCAGCATTCATAAGTACATTACAGTTAAAATCTTACATAGTTCAGTGTTATTTTTGTTAAACCGACAAAGATATGGATGCCAAAGCCCACCTGCCATCTTAAGAGGTAAATTCATAGTAAACTTTTTTCACCGACTTAAACCTGGATGTCAGGTATATTATCCAGTACATTCAGAGGTAAATATCTAGACTGCAGCTTTATAATGAATCTTCTGTATTTTCTGTTGTTTTTTGTAGTGTTAAGAATGTAAATCTGGCAGAAAGTAAGGGATACCAATAATGATTGTAAATTTTTCCAAGAAGCAACAAGTACTTGGTAGGTTAGAAATGCATGACTTTCAAATATTTGATGATTTGTGTAATAAAACATCATCTGGATATCTAATTTTGGCAGCAATGAACAACTAAAGAACATGTGCTCCTATTTGGCCAGAACACACATAAGGCACACTGAGAACACAACCTACTTGCCACTTCATAACAAAATCATCAGGGATTTTTTTCTGATTCCTAACCTAACCTAACCTAAGCTATTTCCATTCAGTACAATATAATACCAGTACGTCTTAATGACTGCTGTAAGAGAAGAAATAATTATTAAATTCACTGTCATTAACTATAGACATTTAAATTTAAAGGTCAAACTTCGATGAACAAATTCCCCCAAATCATTAATTCAGTGATACCAGTGTTATAGTATAGCATTATTTTTACCCAACCAATTATTATTAAATTACAAATGCATTCAATATCTAGTTTTTTAATTAATATCTTTCGCCAATTTAAAAACTATATTACGCACTACCACACTAATACTGGGTATATTTTCCACTTATCTACACGAAATATATGTAGAAATTAATTAAATTCACTTGTATACTAAATAAAATTAAAAGCAGCTATTTCATATCAGATTTGCATAACAACAAAAGATAATTGATAAACTTTTTCCTACTTCCAACAATACTTTATTTAAGTTGAATAATAAACCTGAAGAATAAGCGTCATCACTATTCATTATAATAACAAAAATAGGAAATCTTCTATCCTGTAAATTCCAACTTTAAAAGCCAGTCACATTTGACCGCCACAAATACTGGCTTACAGGTGCATCAGCAACCTTAACTCGCGTGACAGACAAAATTACACCTTCAGGTTTCTTCTGGGAAATGATAATCAACATATTGGACATTTTTCGTGAGGGAAAACTAGCAAAACGAGCCCGGGATCTCGAGTGACAGTAATGTTGTTTAGCTCTGCGGCTTCATTCCTCTTCTAACGAGCTGTAAAATGGCTTCCCATGCCTACGCGTACGAGTCATGCAAGGACAGTGTTTGGAGGCTTCCAAGACACGGAAACCACAGAGGATAGTGAAAACCAACGGGATGGGGACTATATTGCATGCTATTGATTGCAAGCGCTGGGAGTTGGCGCCATGTTGAGCAAGGGTTGAGGCGGACTTGGTCCACTTGGTCGCTCACCTCATCTGAATCGCCGAATATTTGGGTGAACAGATCCAGGCCTCTTCGTATTCTTCGTGTGTATAGCTCCTCGGGTGTGTTAGCTGCATAACTTCCTCGAAATCGTACCCTCTTTCTTGTGTTTAACTTAAGAGCTTTGCCTGGGAACCTGAATTTCGCCATGGTCACATAAACTTACTGCAACGGAAACTGAGGTGCTTGTTCCCGCGTGATAAAAACTGCTTAAAGTTCCAGCAACACACATCATCTCTCGGAATTATCCCTTTTGAATTTAACTAAAGTAATGTAAAAATACATATTCTTTTAAAATTATAATTGAATAGTAAGAGCCTGTGGTATTATAAGGCAGTGATATAAATGTGAAGATAAATGTCGTGAGATATTTTTTAAAAGAGTGTGTTGGGAGACGGCGAGTAAGAGTGGCGCACAAGGCCGTTGCGCGCAGGAGCCCGCCAAACTGCGGCGACGAGGGGCGCGGGGGGTCGAGGGGGCCTCATGAGGGGCGCCAACATTAGGCTCCCCCACACCAACCCGTACGTACTTCCATGCATACACGATATAATATTTAACCTAAGATAAAAATAAATTAATATCATTATAATAACCGCGAGACGATAGTACCTGAAAGCACGTGCAATTGTTTGTAAACAATCGTCGTTTCAGAAAACGTTTCCAAAGAGAGTTCTCCGAAAAGAAAAACAATTTCCATTTCACATCAGCTGATGCAACCTTGCATCACTGTAGGTCAGAAAGACTGGATCTTCTTCAGGACTCAACATGTTAAAACACGAGGTCGACAATCAATACCCCCGTTGCAACAAATTACTCCTGTCTTGCAAGATCCGAAATACGGAAGACGAACTAATAACAAACGTTTCTAAAGTCGAAATGTAAACATATGAAATGAAGACGTTTGACAATATTTCGGCGAATTATCTCTTGCTCAAACCATGTGATTAATCGCTCATATTAAATAATTCAAACGAATTAGAATTCATTCTACTTATTAAATTTCTCCTTCAACTCGAGATTAATATTGATATGACTTTAATGTGGGTCCAATAAAAACGTTTCCGAACATTTACCGCTTTAATATAATTGGATTATTTTGAACGTTTACCGCTTTGATATAATCGGATTATTTTGAATGAATAATTTACAAAGCTTGTTTGAATTTTCAAACTATTTCAAACTATCTATATTTAAAATATGTTTTATGATCATTTTCGCGATTAAGGATGATCTTGTTTTTATAATGTTTGAGTCACGAACCTTGTTGAATGGACAGTATCTCAGATTTCACTATTGTTGAAGCCTAAAGCAGTGTAAACAAGCATTGTAATCAATTTCTTTCATTAAAATGACGCGAATCTAGCGTCTGACTGATTAATCGGGTAATACATAGACAAAAGATAGCATTGTATTTTTCTGTGGTGATAACGTTTAGACACTACAGTATTTAAAGAAAAACTTATAAAATGAGTTTTATCATATATATTCTAGGTTCAGTTCCTCAAAGGTATTTATATTGAATATTTCTAGAAATTGTTCGTAATTGATGAGGTAAGAATGCACCTGACTGGTTGATTTGAGCTAAGACAAAACTAACGTCTAAAGATATTATCGATATTCTTGAGACTGTTTAACCTGAATATTTTAACTCAGCACCAATCAAGATGCAATTGATATTAAAGCAAAGAATCTTATCGCATCTAGTAAAGGAAAATATTATCTTTTGTGCTTTTTTCTGTAAGTATTTTTTCTGATTAAGATTTAGTGAACCAGTTAGAAATATTCATATCGCCTAAAGTCAAATGTGAGTAATATTCGTCTTCAGATTCATTGAGGTATTCGCCGTATTCTATCTAGCTGGTGATTGTGTTGTGGTGGAGGAGCAACGGGTGGGTATGTAAGGTTGTGAAAAGTCGTAGTAGATGGTGAAGAGCTTGGGCACGACCCTGGGTGTGTGAGGTAACATTACTGGTAGAAATTACACACATCCGCTCGTAATTTACCGTAGTTCTGAAAAGTTCGGCATTTAGGCAAGAGTAGCCTACTGTATAGGTTTAGCGTATTTTGGAGTGTTTCTTCGAATTCACCGTAAATGAAAGATTGACGGAAATGGACTATTATGTTCATTCAACAATTCATACTTTCGTAACTAATATACTTCCTTTAAGGCTTAATTAAGAGCGTTACGGCCAAATAACACAAGGGCTCTACTGTATAGGGGTGAATGACATAACCGTTCAAGGTCGGTTAAGAATATAATCGATAGCCTCCTAGGGAGTCTGATTTTTTTAGACAATAACCTTTTGTAGCCCTTGACTCGGATTCTCAAAGATTCGTTGGCTGAATTTTCCTCGGAACTTGAATTATTTAAAATCACGAATTTACCAATGCCTTAACCTTCTTCTGTTCCAATTTCCTGTACAGTATTACATAGTGGCAAATAGTTCACATTACTGCGTGGATGGATATTCAATAACTAGTTTTGACTCCCATCTCTTGGTTGTTGAGAGAAATTATAGATGATCTGTGTACACGTTTTCAGTGTGTGTGTAATAATAAATAATAATAATAATTAACGGTTTATTGAAAGAGCTTGGCAGCCAGAAGGCTGAAAATATACAGTTACATATTTGGGGAATGGGTTACGAATTACAAATAATATACAAGTAACATAAGTGACACAAATAAGACATATAATAACTCGATGGGGAAAAGCTCAAACTACAGTTCATTTCAACATAGTGACAGTGTAAGGAGCAGTGTTTACTGGGAGTGAATACACTGATTTATTACAAGTTGTGTGTGTGTGTGTGAAAGAATATTCCAAAGAACATGTGACGGACGAGGGATTGACGCTGATGTTATAATATATTACTGCACTTCAGAAACTCAGGTCTTTAAACGCGTATGTTAGATCTGTAAATATGCTATGGTTCGGGTAGGTTAGCTGGGTTAGGTTAGATTATCTAGGTTAGGTTAGCTAGTTTAGGTTAGATTAGTGAGGTTAGATTAGATTAGCAAGGTTAGGTTAGGGAACTGCTGCCGATTGAGTTTATGTTTAGAAAGGGGATTAGGAAACAGTAATTTATGAATGTTATTATAATCTATATTACACTATTATTTTTTTAAAAGCATTATCACTATTTTTATTATTATTATTATTATTATTATTATTATTATTATTATTATTATTATTATTACGTGTGATAAATAGATGGGGGGTGGGGAGGGGGGATCATCAGGCATTTCCCCCCTCCGGACATTCCACAATGGGGGGGGGGAGGGGGTCAATAAAGTAAACACTGGCCTTGAATGACTGTACAGTATTTGCTTACTGATCTTTACCCAAATAAATATTAGATTTAAACATTAAGAGATGCTATTTGTAAAACCCTATACAAAATAACGTTAATGGAATCTCATGAAGATCAGCTATTGGAACCTTCGCTTATTTAACCAGAGGATTAAACGCCCTAATACGAACCTAACTTAATTTAACTTTGGAAGAGCCAGGTAGTCTTGCCCTCATATATCCAGCCTTTAAGATACGACTGGATAGGCAGTGGGAGGAGCAGGATGTAAACAATCTTAGAACATCAGTTATATTACTTTTTACTTTACTTTTATTTTTATTGTAATACTTTATTGCCCTCAACCCGCCCAAAACAAAGATGACTTACCAATCTCAATTTCTGGTAGTGCAGTCGGTCACGATCTCGGTTCCGTATTGTACGCAAGTATTGGCTCCAGAATATATCTGTACCTGCGCCAGTATTGGTCAAATGTGGTATTAAATGAGCTCAAGCTTGGTCCTACCACAACACTCTCTGGCAGATTTTCTCAAGAGTTCACAACTCTCACTCCAAAAAAAGTTTGCCCTGACCGTTTTCTGAACTTGTGGCGGGGCGGGAATCCACCATATAGTTCCAGGTATGAACACTCGACTGAGTACATTGCTTTCTGAGTTATTTATAGATTTCTGTTGTCACCCCTTGCCCGCCTATAGTATAAGCTGGGCAATTGCAGGCGTTCTAATCACTCTGGGTACCTGTGTCGTATTACTGGTACCTTTTACTTTTACTTTTATCCTCTTCGCCACTGATCGGCTTGTTATCCGCTTGGGCAATCGGTCACGTCTCTGATTACTTTTCATTTTCATTTATCTTCTTCGCCAATGATCGGCTCGTTAGCCACCCGGGTGATCGGTCACGTCTCTCACGCACTGTTGGCAAGTACTGGGCATGCACCGGCTCCTGAATGTACCTGAACCTGCTCCAGTGTTGGTCAAGTCTTGTCTTGAAAGAGCTCACACTCGGTGCCGTCACAACACTCTCTGGTAGATTGTTCCAAGAGTTCACAACTCTCACTCCGAAAAAGTTTGCCCTCACAGTTTTCTGGACTTGCGGCTTCTTCAACCTTGAGCTGTGACCCCTTGTGGGGCGAGCCCTCCTTTCGACGTCAATAATAATCAACTGACAGTCTTTTGCATATCTCGGGGACCAGACGGGATAACAGTACTCAAAACGGAAACATATCACTTTTGAAGAACGTCCATCTAGGTAACTTGATTCACCTCACAATGACCCGAGAGCTTCAGCTCGTCAACACACACACCCCAGCAGGTCCTTTCCACATTAATTTTGTCTCAGTATTATACCTTACCTGCATTGTCTATATTCATGCCGAACCAATTGTAAACCTGGATGCCGATTTTACTGAATAAATATGTCTATAACACTCATATCACAAATAAGTGTGAATTAATGAAACATGTGAAAAATAGTCAAAATATAATTACGTAAATATATAATATCACATTTCGGATTAAACAGCCACACATTCCCTTCAACATTACATCATCAAAAAGTTTGCAAGATTCAGATTATTGCCACACACACAGGATATCCACTGTTCTTTTTATTTATTCTCTTTCTTCTAGTAAATAATTAAAATATATTGATACCCCTTAAATTCAGAGTCAAGTAATTTAAAACACGACCCCATATTTCTACACTTCATTTTTTCTTCCTTGTTTTGGTCCGTTTAGGAATTTTTATAACGAGTTTAATGAGTATCTATCTATATATCTATCTATCTATATATCTATTTATCTATCTCGGAAACGCATGGAACAAAATAATATAATCATCAATGTAGTTAACTTCCTCATTCACTCTCTCGCTTCTTCCCGTCATCACGTAACATGTTCCTGGCACAAGTGTTCTGCCACCTTACTAGCTGACGAGGCTGTGTGTATGTTTCCTGGCTTCTGTTTGGTTTGTATGGGGTGTATTTGTAAGGGAGAGGTATTTATTTATAATGGTTTAAGGATGAAAATGTTAACTTAAAAGTTTTTGGAAATCGGGACATTTGTTTCCGGGTTAGTTGGCCCGATCAGTACTTCTGGGAACTGAGCACCAACACACTATTCTAGGAACCTCCCTCACTCTCACGACCTGCTGTGAGAGGAGGATGTAGGCTGTTGTGTTTTGACTGAAGGGAAAGACATTAGGATCACCTGAGGATTAGACACCCTAGCTTATTTCACCTGAAGATTATCCACTAATGCTAATCTAACCTAACTTAACCTAACCTTCCCTACCCCTAGATTCAGCATCCCAACTTATTTCACCTGAAGATTAACCACCCTAATGCGTACCTAAGATTCGACACCCCAGCTAATCCTCCTCAGGGAGCATTAGGGGGAGGGGTGTCTAATCTTCAGGTGAAATAAGCTAGGGGTGTCTAATCTTCAGGTGAAATAAGCTAGGGGTGTCTAATCTTCAGGTGAAATAAGCTAGGGGTGTCTAATCTTCAGGTGAAATAAGCTAGGGGTGTCTAATCTTCAGGTAATCGGACATTAGAGTATATTTTCTCAACAGGAAGGGGAAGATGTAATAGGAGGGAATAATGTTGGTTATAAAATACTTTAATGAATACTTAATACTGTACTTAGACAAAATACAGATAAAAAAACATGTAATTTGAATTTTTGTCAGGTATGCAAGGTGTGACTTCAAGGGGGTTACTAATTTAAAACTGCAATGGCGCAATCATCATCAATATATATTTTTAAGGATTTTATTGGACAAAGGTCAAACAACCCCAAATCATATATGTATACAGTACAGTATAGTCTTGATTTGTGCGGTCAATTGAACCCGTCGAGGTCCGCGTAAAATGAGAAACGCTTAAATGAAATAACAGAACATATGGGATTAATTGAAATAGAGACTGGGCGGACTCCCAAACTCCACTTTTTCCGACACAATATGTACCTTGTAGTAAAAATAACATCTTAATTTTATGATGGTATGCACACACACATAATATATAAATAAAAAACTACACTACAGTACAAATATAAAGGTGTTTAACACTTACGTTAGTAGAAGAGATGGGTCGGCACACGGGGATGGCGGCTGGTTCCGAGGCAGAGGGCAGATTAATGGCCCTCCGGTGAATCACTATCACTATTCACAGAGGTTTGCAGGGCCTCTCTGACAAACCCCTCAAAGTCCATATCCTCACTGTCACTATCACTGACTTGGGCTGGCTGTGGTTGTGGTGGGTTGCGGGCGAGGAAGTCCGTAATACTACATTGACGACTAGCATTGATGTTGTCGTCATACATCTGGACATACGGCTCCATAAATTTCGACAGAAGGTTATTAGACACTTCATACCGATGCTTGACTGTGTCTTTGTCAAGGGTGAGCTTGATTTTCTCCGCCAACTCGATGACTTCCTTCACATAACCATGGCTTGGTCCAGGTAGTTCAAGGTTTCTCGGGGGTGGTGGGGGTCCAGCGGAAGCCATTGTGAGGGGAATAGCGGGCACAAGAGAGAACTGTATACGCGGAGACTGAGAACAACGAGACTGGCCCGGCTATGTCAGCGACTTCTTCCCTCTGGTGGCAGGGCACGTCATGTTACATTAGACCAATCACAGCTAGCGGCGGAGGGAGGTAAGGATGCTGGCCCAATCACTGTCCGATACGTCATATGACGTCAGCGATAACGTAAGAGCGACCTAATGCGCACCCTCCCCGCGCCGCTTCCCGCGTAAATGATGGAAAGAACCGTGTAACTTAAAATTGTCATTCTGGCAAGGTGCCGTGTAAATGACCAAACTGGAAAACAAAATCCACGTAAATCGAGACTATACTATTTTGGATTATTTGGTCATTTGTATAGTGTACAGTCCCTTTCACTAGTGGACAATGTAGGATGAGAAAAGGGTGAATAAAGTAAGACAGGGGTATAGAGTAATAAAAACTGTTTAAGAGAATAGAAAATTATAAAATGAAAGGAGATACAGTAGTAAGGAAGGTACAGATTGGGTCCAGTTGGGCTTTCTGGAGATTATAATAATGAATGTCTACCATACACAGTTCATTACCTAATTCACACCCAAATTTGTCTTCACTTGTAATATAAACCATTATTTGTTTGTACAGGGTGGGTGAGAAGTTACCTTGTGAATGTGTCACTTATTTCTTGACCACCCTGTATATCAAGAATGTACTGTAATAATAATAATAATTGATGTTTAGTCAATTTGACCAAGGACAGCTGATATAGCCATGAGAGTCTTGTTTCCAGTAGCGTCCTTATGCCAACAGCATCTGGTGTTCATAGGGCCAGGCAGTCACCCATCTACTAACCACATCCAATGTTGCTTAACTTCACTGATTGAATAAAAAGTGGTGTTTGCAATGTGTGTACAGTATATATAATTAATGAAAGAATTAGCCATACAATAACAGTTGGTATGAAATGAGAGAATATATATTGCTATAAGTTTATTTTTTAGAAACAAAATACTAGTTAAAATTAATTTTCAATCAAACAAACTGACTTAGTTATGATCTTTGGTGCTTGTTTTACATAGATGTATAGATAAAAATTATATGTGTGTTATATAACCTCAAACAGGCGATTCTATAATTGTGCATGGTATTTTATGGTCCACATGTGAACTCATATCATAGTGCTGAGGGAACAATGTGATGGTACTGTGGGCCTCAGAAAAGACTCTCCTATAACCTCATGTTTACTTACTTCTCTATACCTTATTGTACTGTACTGGTCTCCTCAATCAATGTACAATTTGAGGAAAACTATGTACAGTAACCCCCAGTAGTGAGCTTACCTAGATCCTCATACAGACTATAGTTGTATTGTCACCTCAACTGATGTACAATTTCTGGTACAAATACTGAAGGTAATGTGGGTTTAAAATTATACGTACATGAACACCAAACAAGTTATTGATGAGATATGTTTCAGATCTAATCCATTTAACATCTAACAACAGAAACAGTAACCGTCTTAGCTTTAACTTAATAACAATAAAAAAATTTCTCATATGTACAGTAGATGCAAAGACTATACAATACTGTATTATAATTCTGTAATTACTAGTACAGTAGATGTTATCCTGCGTGGAAGGAAAATATTGGACACAGGGCACACATCCCCCATATCTTTTTTAAAAACTTTTTTATGTGCTAATATATGATGATATTTAAATTCCCAACAACTTGCTGTTAATATTACAGCATGAAAATATGTAAGGAATTATAATGGACATTTCAGTTCTTTCAGTTAAGATTATTGCTATCCTTAATGTGTTTTTAAATGCAGTACAATATAGGTAACATCACAGTACAGTTCCAAAAGCCTCACATATTGTCATGATCCAAGGGTGACAGGGAATGTCAAATCACTCCTTGGAATACATGGAACATTAAAAAATATATAATTATCCTCCTCTAAGCAATACGGGTAACAGCTGGACGGAATGGGTAAGATATCACTTATTAATAATACAGTAATAGCTGATCTTTTGTCTCGAAACACGACAAAGTCAAAGACTCGAGAATAAAAAATAACAGTACGACTTCTATCATTCATAAACCCTTAAGTTGTAATATTCCCTCTCCTCCTCTCCCTCTTCTTCCCCTCCCTCTCCATCTCCTCTTCTCCTTCCACCTTTCCCTCCCACAACCTAAATGGTTCCCTACAATAACATATATACTCCTATGTGTTATCTGGCATGTAAACAATAAAAACATACTGTACACTACCGTATATGCCATGCTAAGTGTTACCATATACGACCAGTGTTGGCCTCTCATAATACTGCAGAGTCAACGAGAATATATTCACTCTTTAGGTATTGATAAATTACTGTATATAAGCATATAACTAACAAGTGTACAGTACGGTACCTCAAGAAACATCCTGTACTGTAATGGAATAACAACACACGGGGCTCATGTCACTGTGTTTGGTCCAAGTTGTTTGTTGAGTTGGAATAAAAATCATACATTAACTGAAACATCATCAGTACACATTGGCATATTCTGGTACTAAAGTTACGTGTTTGTTTAGATGGGCGATAGCTGTCAACCGAGATCTTTGATTATGGGAGGCAACTCGAGGGATTTTGATAGGTAAATAGTAAACATGTACAGTACAGTATATCCATAAAAAAGTGTGTATTAAATGTCAATAAAACTCAATTGTGCAATAAAAAATCTTGAAAATATTTAACTTCGTATAAGACCAATATTATGAAATCATTTACGGTAAAACAAGGTAGCATGCGGTCCTTTTCTTCTTCTTCCCCTTAAGATAAAGCTTAAAGTGCTCAGTGGATGGATACATAAGCTATATTGTAATTTATTTGGAATGTGACATTTGTATGGCTGTCACACCAAGGTCACAAACATCACAGCCCATATTAGTGGTGAGTGGCACAGCATGCATAGGATACCATTGTCCCCCAAAAAAAAAATACACTTCTGTTTTCAATGGACACAGTATAATTTCCCTGTGTTTTTTCGGGTATATGACATTCCACTCATGAAGAAAGTACAGTATAATTAATTTAACTGTATTGTGTACATTTTCCTGTATTCCAAATGGTATACTGTATTCTGCTACAGTTTGATTAACACTTTCTGATAATATCTGGCCTAAGACATGACATAAAACCATCCCATAAATAACTGTATAAAAAGACTTCTTCCATTATAGTTCCAGTAAATCGGTAATGAACAATGAATGTTTAATCTTATGGAATATCGTCACACTACCCTTTCCTAAAATCAATGCCCTCCACACACCCATTTTAAATTCTTCTCGGCGTTAACACTCTCCTTTTCCTTAGCCGAGCGATGACGACACTGACAGGCGTAAGCACGAACGCCGCGCTGTGAGTCTAGACGGGCACGGAGACGACTGACATTGGGATAATTATCGCGAAGGAAGAGATAGTTCGTCTCCTTAGTCCAGGTAAACCCATCAATCATGACTACATACGAGTCACAGTCAACACACCGAAGTTTGTCACATGCCCTGAGGGGGGAAAAGAAGAGAACACTACATTGGTTATCTGACAAAACAGTAGCTGTACTGTATTTAATAAAAATATATAAAAAAAAGACAAATAAAATCATGTACCCAGAGGTGTGCTAGATAAATTATGGTAAATATGCAAAAAAAAAGAAAAGAAAAAGAAAAAGACTACTCATACCTAATAAGAGGCAAAGATTCTAAGGTAGTCGAGGGAATGGTTATTAAACATTATTTCACCACACAGGGAGAATCAAGGGTACTGTATGATCCTTCTAGAAATACCTATCCTTAACTCTTAACTTACAGACCCTGAAAATCAGTGTCTTCCTTAGCATCAGAAAAACCTGTAAAATAAGTCTAAGCGCTAGAGTATTTATCAACTAGAATAACAGCAAATGGAAGGACACACAGATAGACAAAAGAAATCGCACAGAATAACAACGTGATGAAAGGCCAGACAGACAGACGAACACAAAGGCAGACAAAGTAAATGCCATACACCACAGGAAATATTTGATGTAATGACAAGAATTCTGCTACATTAACCTGAAAGATTACGTTGTTCACATAATTACATAAGGGAGAATTTTAAACATGAACGATATGCAAGTCTCAGTATAAATAATGTACAGTATATACAGTACTTATTATACAGTATTTGTTACATGTGTAGGTTGTGTATAATGTATTAACTACCTATGTATTGATGCATGTTTTGTAGTATGTAGTGATGTACTGTATGTTATGTAATATGTATGATGCATGTGTAGTATGTATATGCTTTGAAGTATATGTACAATGTATGTTTTATAATATACACGATCTATGCTGTAAAATACATATGCCGGCTGGTGTACGGCGCACGATAATAACGTCAAAATTTCTTAACAAAGGCTCAAAATGCGTCGTTATTTTTCGCCCATCCTGTGCAGTACAACCCTGACCCTTCCAAGACAAAATTACCTGAGGCACCTCAACCAAGTTACCCACAACCCACCTGAGAATAGTCCCTGTTGATATGCCTTCAGGTAGAGTTGTTCCACTGAGGTAAGGTGTGCTGCACTTATTACTTCCCCCTCCTGGCTGTGAGGCGAGGGTGTTGGGAGAGTCAGTTGTGCTTAAGGGCCGAGGAGGGGGTTCAAACTCCTCCAGTAAGTCCTTAAGGTCGTCCGTCTTGGCGCTCTCACTGTGAAACGTCGATGAAATGAGATGATTGGCTGTTTTAAATTCCTCCTAAACATCCTAAGTACATGATTGGAATGTTTTAAAATCCTCCTGAACATCGTGTATTTTTCCAACTATCAGAATATAATGTATACTACAAGAGATTGAATTTACCTTCCATAAAGTGATCATAAACTGACAATCTCCAGATCCTTTACCAAAATACACTACCAATTGAACCATATCTACCGGGTACTGTACTGTGGTTATTTCTCAAATTCAAGATATAGGTTAACTTACCTTTTTACGTCTGTAGTTCTCAGTTTGGAATTTTCGAAACTTTCCTCCACTTCATCGAGCAAGTCATCAATATCATCTGCCATGTCTGCCTGTAAAAAATAATCGTCAGTTTCTTAGACCCTGGTAAGTAAAATCGTCAAATTTACAATATAATTTACACAATGAATTCATTATATTATATTATTTTAATCTAATCTTTATTATCTTGTGTTATCAGTGATGCATTACTCTCCTCAAAGATTCCTTCTGAGGGGTGCTGACATAGGAAGCTGCTCTCTCATTCAGTACACTGCATCTCCTCTGAACCAATCAAACCAAACTCAGCAAAAACATAAACTAAGATCATTAGGTTAGGTTAGGTTAGGTCAGGTTAGGTCAGGTCAGGTCATATAATATAAATGATTTACACCCTCAGCCCCACTAAGTTGTTAAGCAGGAATACTTCTTCACACACTGAGTGGTAGACCTGTGGAAGTCTACCGTTTCAAGCTGTGGAATCAAGAACAATACTGGGGCCTCAAAATAGTCCTAGACATGACATCAATGCCGACATCAAGAACAATGGAGGGATCCTACAGAGGCCACTGGCGCTCGTCCCTCGGCTTGGCCATCTCTAGTTTGGGTGGCCATTAGGTAAGTAAGGCAGGTGAATGTGATCCACTTTGTCTTTTGATTCATCTGTTTGTGGTTATTTGATGTATACAAGACCTATTAATTAATCTCAATCACATTCTCACAGGTCAGAGAGGCTGCCAATTATATATTGTTTTAACTAGCTCATGAAAGTGTCATATAACAACATAAATACCATAATAATGAGAGGTAAATAATCCTCGTCAACAGCAGGTAACTCCTGCAGGTGGGTCACGCCCCTTTAATTATAGATGAATACGGCATCGTCACACGTAATTAACTAACTACACAGTACCAACTTGTCAAATTCCTAAAATATCTGCCAAAACTCACTCAAAAATGCTCGGATAATACAAAAAAGACGTTAAATTACGATTTGTAGTTTATTGTTGTGAGAAATGCCACTCCGGAATGTGTAAACATTAGATCGGCCCAACTTAGAAAGTTGCCGAACTTAGGATTTGTAAACTGGGCCAGGTTTAAAACTCACTATATATACAGTATATATATATATATATATATATATATATATATATATATATATATATATATATATATATATATATATATATATATATATATATATATATATATATATATATATATATATATATATATATATATATATATATATATATATATATATATATATATATATATTATATATATATAATATATATATATATATATATATATATATATATATATATATATATATATATATATATATATATATATATATATATATATATATATATATGTGTGTGTGTATGTGCATATAATGTGCTTTAAACTCTTTAATCACCATAATAAAAGTAAGTTAAAGTAAGTTCATACACTAAGCAATCATAATTTATTGTTAAGGAAGATACATTATTCTTTTTCCTCCACAGACCTTCACCACTATCCTCATTAGAGCCTAATGACACCATGATAATTACTTTTGTCATCATCCAAATGACTTTCAATAATGTAATTACCCTAAGTTTAATGTAGGTATAATGCAGAGTGGCTGATTCAAAAACAAGCAGACTGTCAATATGTTCTGCTATGGTGTTCCTGTCTACAAAGCCCAAGAATATGAATTTCCTTTATCCTAGTTGTATCACACGACCTAGCAATATCCTTCTGCAGCATTTCTAAACCCCCCAACACACTTCGTCATGGTGTCTGGTCATTCTCTATCTTTCTGTATTCTTTATGCTCTTTACTGAACTCCAAATCCTCTTCTCACATCTGACCTGAGGATTCGAACCCATGACACTGGAAGGAGAGGCATACTTGTTGCTATATTGTACCAACACCACTGCATGAAAAAAGTATCCCTTAAAAATAGAACTTCACTGTAATAATTTAAAACCTAACTACTTCAATAACTTTTAAAATACATGATAATTATAAAAGACAAGTTGTAGGATAATTTTATTTAAGAATATCACAAAATAAATCTCTGTTATGTTAGGGGAGAAATGAGAACAGAGGCAACACATTAGTCACCTCACACAGTACGTACAGAATCTCTAGTAAACAATGACAACAAAACCTATTGTTCATCAAGTGTTGTTCATTTCCTAACAGATATTAATAAATACTTTAACATTACAGTAATAAAGAAAACAAATTATAATCAAACAAAAGCTTCAACATTAATAACATTCATAATATTGAAACTTTAATCTAATTATGTGTGATATTGTTTATGATGACAAAAACAAACAGTAAAGAGCCTTTTTAGGAACATATACTATAGTGAAACCTTGATATAATGGACTTCCCTCTCCATACATAGGTAGTTTGTTATATGGAGGTGTCATATCTAATGGACACACCAAACCTTGAAATTTACCTCCTTGCTGACATGACCATATGAGTAAACATTTTTAATTATTCTATTACAAGTTTAGAAGTATAATAATACTAATGCTGGTTATAATGGGCCTATAACTTTAGAGTATTATTATATTTTTATTAAAGACTGAGGTGGGTATTTATGTAATCTGGACACATTTGTAACATGAGTAAATCTATAAAAAAAAGGTACAGTCTTAATATACACGATGGGATAACTCTACTTTATCATACTAAAAAATACTAAACTATTTACAAAACCTCACATGGAGTTAAAAAATTTAAAAAAATTTAATCTTCAACACCAATTACATAAGATTATAAAATTTTGCTGTATATATAAAAGTTTACAAAATCGAGAACGGAAAACTCTACCATAGCTTCTTCACCTAAATTTCAGGGCCACCCAAAGCAAGAGGAACACCACGAAACAGAAGCAGAAAAGAAAAATTAGATGATAATTATGTGATCCTTTACCCATGATCACCAAACGCTTCATACTGCGCTCCAAGAAATTCCCCGATTTGTGAAAGTCATCGTCCTGAAAAAGGTAAAAAGTAAAATATTAAAATCTTATTGACATTTATATAAAACCTCTGCAGTACATTGAGACAGCTTTTATACTTAGTGGAATACATATATGCTTCCTCTATGTATTAGAATTCTGCAGCATATATCAGGTTTTAGTGAAGGGGAATAAGTTGTCGTATAAACCTTTGTGAATTTTGGACTGAGAAACACACAGAATACTAGTACTTATAAACATGTTTACTGCACCAGCTATAAAGGGATATTTAATTTCTTCTGTAACTGATATAGGAAAGAATTACAGTATAACATTTACAAACTCCAAAATACAGATTATATTTACCATGTCGTTTAACATACTGTTTTGATTCTTGACTTCATTTCCTATGTCGATCGTCAACTGAAAAAGAAAACAGTGTTTATAATCGCGGAATTAGTTAAACCACTCCTTAAACACAGACGCCAGAACAATATATTATTTCATGAACCATTAACAATATTGGATCACCTGACGAATCCCGACCCAATCTTAATACATTTCACTCAATTATTACAAAATATTCCCTAAAATTCCTTGAAATCTTGAGGTTGCAACTCACTGTACGGTAATAATCAAGTACCCATCAACACACGCACTACTAATCGTAATCAACACACGGTACGTTAATGCCACCTAGGTCATGTTCACATCAACCTTAGTTACCTTACCGACTTTAGGGCCTTGACCTTGTGCTTGAGCTGCGATGTCATCTCCTCATTTTCTTCAGAGAGGCGCTGAGATTCATTATTACCTCCATAGCTATTATAGGTATATGGGCCAGCATTAGCTGTGGAAAATGGAACAATAAATCATGTTACCTACACAGATCATCCTTGGTACTAATGGTCAGATAAAATATTCAATAGTGAGAGGTTAAGTAAGTAAATAAGAAAGTAAGTAAATAAATATATAAATAAGAAGGTAAATAAATAAGAAAGTAAATAAATATGTAAATAATAAAGTAAATAAATAATAAGTAAATTAGACACCAAAAATCGGCAAAAATTAATCATTGTTAGTAAGCAGTGGATATTTTGCCATGACCGGTTAAATTCCTATTAATGCTATTTTACCGTATGTGTGCCCTGATTGGCTAATCGTCCATTACCGCTGAACAACTCGAGAATGTGACTGACTCTGGCGGCATTTGGCACTTATTTTGCCAAGTCGATCACTGTGAAGTTATAAAAATACATAACCAATTGTTCTTATCATTATAAAAGAGGCGGCGACGTTCACTAGAACCTGACCTAACCTACCTAACCTTACCTAACTTCCTAGCCAGGGGGTGGACCCTCTGTCATGTTAAACAGAGAGTACTTAGCCAATAAGAGCACACTCACAGTAAAATAACGTTAGTAGGAACTTAGCCGGTCACGTCAAAATATCCACTACGTTAAATAATATGGTAAATTTGGAGTAGTGATATTAGGTTAGTCGATTTCTATCATTCTCATAATTCTGATTTTTTTTCTTCACGAGTATGCATTCTTTTTCGCTTATTCATACACCTAAATTGCATTCAGTACATTATATAAATAAAAAAAACACGTATCAAAGCTTCAATTCTTTCCTACTACAAACACATTATATTTCTTCTCTGTTACAACTATACACAACAGGGTACACTTATTACCAACCATTCTGTGCTCGTCTCATTTTCTCCGGTTATTCTTCACAAAATTCTAATTACAAGGTTGGTAATATAACGTTTCTGGCAGACAGTTGAGCCCCAGCTACTGACAGTCCTTCCTACACGTTGTTTACGTCTGACGGCTGAGTGGCTGACGTCATCACCCACTCGTTCATACGGCATTACAATTCTGTATTCAATTCATTTTGTCTTTATTTGACATTAAAGGTAGTTTTACTTCATCCAAATTTTAATATGAGCATTAATTACACATACAATTAGTTGAAAATCTTAAGTAATTACTATAAACGGCTTGTAAATAGGTTACTTAATACAACATATGGGTGCTTGATAATCTCTTCCTGAGAGTTAAGACTGGAACAAAATAATTTGACATGATCAATAAAACCATATTAACCCTAAAATATGTTGTACAGTACTAGTGAGAAACAATAATACAGAAGAAAGACATTGTCACATTGTGGACAACTTGTGCATCAATGAAAATACTCGCTTCTCTTGCACTATCGGTATAATATATGTTATAAGGGTAATATCCAAAATATAATTAAATCTGAATTTTATGTTCGTTTTATGTAATTAAAGTAAAGGGATTTTAATCGTTGTTATTTCAATTGTGAATGTGATTGTTGTTTAGACATTAACCGCCATGTGCAAACTGTGAACACACCAGGTAAGGATTTTCAATGTAAATTTTGTGTGTATTCCTCACTGATTGTTGGCAACCATCATATATGACTGAGGACAGTATTCTGAGTGTTTGATTATAAAGGAAACATCAGCACGAATAATAAACCAAGGCGTAAATGATTTTCTTTACGGGGAATAGCCAACCGGGGCACAGGTCAACGACCCACAATGGGGCCTAGGGGGCGAAAAAATAAGAATAGAAAGAAATTAAAAATAGAAAAGGAAAGGGTTATATTAATCTACACCACGAAGTTGCCGGAAAACCAGCTCAGGAGTGAAGTAGCTATGGCATCTGTATAGCATTCCCAACTTTCGGGAGGCAGCTTTAGCAATGTTGAGGATGCCCACGGCTTCCCTGACATAGAGGGAATGGTGAGGCCTAGCATATCTATTTTAGAATTTGGCTGAATGATAGCGTCCTGAAATGTGAATGGTGTGAGATCATCTAATTTGGAAAGTGTAATTGGTAAATACCAAGTTTTATAACTATTGAATTTAACCCAATTTCTACCTCACCATTCAGAGATGCTGCACGGTGTTGTATTGAGTCTTTAATAGGAGTTTTATTACATATATCATGTCCTTTATTTAATAACACCATTTAGTAGTATTAGAATAATGAAAAAGATCGTATTTTTATTATTATTAACAATATCATAATTATAAGCTGGTAATGGCTAAGAATAATACTTGTGGTTGTAGTCACTTAATATGGCGTCACAGGAAGCTTGGAAAGACGAGATTTAGACTATTTTATTTATTAGGAATTCCTCACATGTACAATAAAAATACATTATGGATATGAACTGGAGATACAAGTAAGCATTTATTATACAGTAGGTAATGTAATAGAGTTCCGAGGATAACACAAGAATCCAAAAGATGTATTTATATTGTGGTCTTCAAAGTTCAAATGGACTGTGACTAATTCGATAAAATATTGTACTGTTAGTTTTGTAGTGTCTGTATATGTAGAGTAAGTATAATTACTGTATGTATAGCACTTGTAGGTACTAAAATGGTCAATAAGGTAGATATTTGTTCATTGATATCATTATACAAGTTTACAGTGGGCTTAGTATGTACAGTATATAGATATACGTACTGCAGGTATACATGTCTCGGTAATAACTAGGACACTGTCTCTTACCAACCATTTTACTAAACTTTTTCTGTGGCGGGAATGTATTTATTCAACAAAAATATGGAAAAAAATTGTAAAATGGAAGTTAAAGAAAGTTGGGTATATATAATCACTTCACCTATAGGCAGTGCAGGTATACAATCAATGTTATGTACCTAGGATGCCCATAGAGCCCCTTTGCTTGGTGCTCATACAATGTTACTGGACTATTCCTGCTCACCATGGTACTCTGCCTTAACACAAGCTAATATACCAACTACAAATTATTCAAAACAAGATGGTGAGGTTCATTCTTAACATGAACACAAGAGATGACATTGGACACTAAATTGTATCAGGTAGTGAAGCAACTGAGGCTGAATCATGCTTATAGGATTTTCAACAGACTGCGACCAGAGTATCTAGCAACAAACTTTGTAAGGATTAGAGATATGAGCCAGTGTGGTATTCTCAGAGGGCCCCCATACTCAGAGCCCCTTGTATATAATGCACACAAGTCTAGATTATTTTGTCAACACGGTTAGCACCAGTAAAAACAAATAACGGAATTGAATGAAAATTTGTGTAGACTAATATCATGATCCTGAACATGAAAATGGAAATTGGGTGAAGTTAGATCAGGTTCTGTGCATTCTTGCTTCCATTTTCGTGTTCAGGGTCATGATATTAGTCTCTCCACAAACCTTATATTACTCTAAAACTCTCACTCTTCCTGTGGTTTCATTTACTCTGTACTTTTTCATTTTAGGTTTGAACTGTATGATGACAGTACTGGTTGCAACATGGTTAGGCAAATTGTTCTGATTCTTTATAGATGCAAAAATTAAAGTGTATTTTGCATAACACCAGGTCCCATAAAATTGTGTTTACTTCCTTCAGTGCCCTACTGGTAAGACACTCTGGACACATCCCATTGAAAATCCTCAAAACATGATTTATGATTAAGTTTCATCTGGACAAATGGTTATATGGTAACAAATGAAACACAGGGTCAGAGAGAGAACTTTATTGATGAAATGTCAAGGGTGAACTTCTCTTTGACCCTGTGTTTCCTTTGTTACCATATAACCAAACATGATAAGCCTTGACTGCTTCACTCTACCTGCCACACTTAACATGTCTAATGTCTGCAGGTCTTCAAGACCAATATGATTACTTCCATTCATATCTAGAATCAACCTAACTAACCATCATGTTTTGAATAATTTTTATTTTGGCTTTTAGTGTGTTGTTGTTAAGGCAGAATACCATGATGAAGATGAAAAGTCCAAGTGATACTGTATGAGTGCTAAGCAAAGGATCCTACAGACTTCGATCAAGAGACATTTTACACTTCAATAAAGAAATATCATGGCAGTATAGTACTCTACAGTAATTTACTAAATAATCTTCAGTAGAGTTAACGTAATGTATTTCACTAAGGTTACAGTTGAAATGCTTTATAATCACACAATACATTAAACTCGCTCTCTTGAAATTTTTAAGTTATCCAAATAATATTGTTTCAGTTAACGTGATGACTTGTTAGCTGTATCCTTTAGATCTTTACCTCACACTTAAAGGGCACCATCATCAATCTAGTGCCAAGAACCTGCAGTTTTTCACGTAGTACATCATGATCCACTGTGTCAAAGGCCTTATCTAACATTATCATCCCTGTATAATTTCAACCACCTGTATTGATGTTGAAGGGTGGATGGCAGGTGGTGGTCATCCATACAGGTAAATGCTGTTGTGGTGGGTGTGTGTGTGTGTGTGGTGCTGGAGGCCAGAGGGTTGCAGGTCTCAATGATGCCGTTGTAGTGGTCTTGTAAGCAGGTGTCAAGTTTCCCCCAGGATATAGGGTGTGGATGGGGGAAGGGTTAGGGGGTGGTGTGTATTAGGTGGTGGATGATGTTGCCGGATCTGGGTTATATCACACGGGATTTTTTTTTATTTATTATTATCAATACACTTTTCACACTGCCTGAGTTGCACATAATTTTGAGATTATAATTTTGTTCTATATTGTTGGTGTGTGTGTGTGTGTGTCCAGGCTAGGGGTTATTTGTAGATTTAAGATGATATAACAGCTGATGTTGGCAGTCATGGGTCACCAAGTATTGCTTTGGGGAGGGACTGACACTCACTTTATAACAACACTACTTAAATATATTCCACTAATCAATAATTTGTAACAGGTATATGACTGACCAATCGCCCATCCAATCAAAGAACTGCTCATTGGCAAAGAAGATAAGTACAGTGAAAACCTACAGTGCAATAAACTTGGATGCAGTCAGAGCAGGACACCTTCCACATTGGGATTTAAAGGTATTGAACATTTCCATTTGTTATGATTGTTATTATCAATGACTGACACAAGGAGCTACTGCACTAAGTATAAAAATTTAGTGACTTGGAAAATGGGATGCCTGATATACTGTAGTTTGGAATGGAATCTATGTTTGGTAATATACATTTTTCTTCACTATGGTGTCTGTAGTGTTCTTATAATAGTATATCTTGTTCACAATTCATGATTTGTAGATTTCACTGTCTTAATTGTTGCCAGCCTCTCTACACTAGGGTAAAATGTCCATATTATGATATAGAATTGTGTAATACAGTATTTAGGAAGTGGCTACTTAGCAGGGAATTCCTGGTCAGGCAAACTCAAGGCTAATTCGTTGGGAAATCAATTGTGATTACAATGAATAACTTATCTAAAGGTGTAAAGTTTGATACATGGCAGTGAAGAACAGGAAACCAATTCTTTCAATATACAGTGTACAGTATATATTTTTTCATAAGAGATATATACCTAACGTGCAATGCTACAACAGGACATGAATCAGCCAAGAATAATATCCCTAAGCCCAACAGCTCCATCACAATTGGTTTCACGGCAAAGTAATGTTTTAGGAACATTAAGGGAGAATGGCTGCATTTAGCCACTGAACAAGAGCATAAACATAGTGGCTGAGAGAATTTATGATAAGTGAAGGAAACGAAAGTTATAATAGGAAATTAAAGATGTCACTGGCTACAGTGGCCAGATCATGTATATTATAAATAAAGTTGTAGACCAACAAGTTCATTACTGGTGTTGTGTCGTAAACTAATGGCCGGGACAGTCACGTTTTATATTTTTTCCTGCCGAGATGGAAATAACGACATGTGCCCCAGGGGTACATGCCCATCCTCATAGACATGTCAAAATGTGCCATTGTGGCCCTGAAACCTAGATCTGTAGATACAGGGGCCGGACAGTATTATTCTACAGTCCACATAATTTAAACATCCAGTATAACTTACTGTCACACCAGTGTTTTCTGACCGCACCATGTGTGAGCTCATTTAAGACCAGACTTGATCAACAGTGACACAGGTAAAGATACAAAATACTTCCTGGAATCAGTACTAACCCACAGAAAGGTCTTACATTGTTTTTTTTAGAGACGTCCACAGAAGTCAGCTGCTTCATGGATGCAGGTATCTGTGCATTTGAAGTGGAAGAAGGTTCTAGACCTCTGGCTCAGCAGCCCATTCATAACTGCATACAATTATTTCTTGATAACTGCCACAATAGGCTACTTAACATCTGTAGTATTAAACTTTGCATGCCCTCACACCTGACATATTGTCTTTCACTTTTGGCTTATGAGGTGAAAACATAGATTTTGTTCAAATTTCATACAAAGGTATTCATTTATATGTTTGTTAAGGATCTGGGTTCAAAATCTAAAAATTCAAGCAACTAGTGTTAATTAATGAGCCTAAAATAATAAAATGCATTTCGAATATTTAAAACAGCATCTTTCCCCATAAAGTAAGCCCTTGATAGATAATAAATCTTAAATATTGGTAATTGCAAGGTTATAATAAAATACATTCAATTATAATTTTATTCATACCTGTACAATATGACAATTTACAGTGAGGTTAAAAAGAAGACTAAGTGAAGGTATATTCCCGATATTGAACCCTTTGTTGAGTTTGTCAGTGAAATCACACAATGATAATGGCACAATTAATTTGTATCAAGGATGATAATACATAAAAATATATGGCTTTTTTAAATAATGATCAAAATTAGGCCAAGAGAAATACAAGATCCAAAGAGGATAAAAACAAGATTGCCACAAGGAGGTTAGAGGAGCATTAAAGATGAAATTATCACACATGCTCACTCCGGAACATAATGAGTGTATTTGTTCTAGACATAACTTCAAGACTACCCAAAAATAAGGGCAGTTTTTCTGTAAGTCAAATAAAATGAGGGTAGTACCAGGATATGCATTTTAAGTAGAAGAAATTGCCAAGTGTGAATAATTGTTTAAATGAAAAATTAACATTTCTGTAAAGAGGCTGTGTGGAGACTGGCGACATACCAAATTAATATCTTCCGAGTAACCAACAATGAAGAGACCACTGTAAAGATGTAAAGAATATAGTCAGCATGATTTGAATTTCCATACTGACAAACTTTCATATCTTCATAAATGAGGCAACTGTCATTAACAAAACTGGAATACATGACTGCCTATCAGAAGAGTGCAGATCTGTAAGCATATCTTAAAGCCTGATCAGGTCTCTGGTACATGTGAGCAGGTAGCTCAGCAATCACTATTAAAGAGCCCAGTTGTCCAACACTGTACATTAGGTAGACTGAAAGCAATAGTAGTAAGTTTTGGCATGGTTCACTTTGAGCCTTTTCGGCACACTCTTGGTGTAATGATTAAGTAACAAGAACTAAAGATTTTGAACTGAAAACTACCTAAGACAGATTAATAAAAAAACCTGCTTAACTATTCTGAACACTGGCTCTTCCAAACACAGTAGAAATTCTGCTCACTTTGCTGAATACAAAGACACGCTAGGCCTAAACCAAAGACAGCAATTTTTTAAATATACAGAGCTATTAAAAAATATATGATTGGGTAAAAATAGCTATGTTGAAACTTGCAATTAAAAACCTTTAATAAAAAAAAACATGACTAATTAATTTAGTAAATCCACTTCAAAGTTCGCACTAAAAACTGCCAAAACTTCCAAGTATGTTATATCACAGGGACTTGGTCAACAATTTATAAACGGTGACCAGTATCATGTTAACATTTGTTACATGGGAAGATCACTATGCAATCAGGGTTCAATTCTGACCCAGGAATACAAGTTCTGAAGATCAATCATACAAGCATTATCACTCCAACTACCAGTGACACCCACATATTTGTACTTCCCTACTTCATCTACAATCATCCCAATGTAATAACCAATCACATAATAGAATTTAGCCCTGAAGTGATGCAGTAAAGAATTTGAACTTCTAAATTACTCAAGTGTGTTACTCAACATTTCAAGAATTAGAAGCTTTGGATGGAATAATAATGTAGGTATTTCTCTTGGATTAAAAGCAGGTTATAATATAAGGGGGAACCTTGTTAAAAGACTTGTTACAACCCACGTTATGAAACTTATCCCAACAGAAAGTAATCAAACATAATACAGTATAAGTAAAAGGCTGCAAGAAAAGATATTTCCAAAGGTGAAGCACATGTGTTATTTCAGCTAAGTTGAAATATTAAACCTGCCAATATGGTGATAACTGAATGGAATAATAATGTGCAAGATGCTGATGTTGTAAGATGCTGACATTAAGAATGAGGTCACCACCATAATGCACAGCCTACCATGCACCTCGATAAAATCACTATGGTGGGGACATATATGCACCAGTAGGAAAGTGACTAAGATGTGTTATAAATATTACTAAAAAATGAACAATGAAAAATAGTGAGTATAGATTCAAAGATCAGTGTTTTCAATGTGAAATCATCCGTTACTTTGAAACTATATACAGTACTGGTTTGCTTGTAAGGCTCATTTTCTATTTGAAATGAATAAAAATCTGTCCTGAAGTTCCCCACTTCAATCTGAGAAGAAATGCAACTAAAATAGCTGCAAATAACTCGGAACACCAGGGCTTCTCATAACCTGTGATGTTATATAACAAGCACAAGTATATTGGAAGTAAAAGATGGCTAATATAACCTCTATTATAATGTTGGGTCTTGTGGGTCCAACATGAATTCTGTGTTGACAGGGCAACATGCAAAGTGGCCAACATCTCTGTCTTTGTCATGTCGTAGCTGCTCCAGTGCTTCTTGGACTTTCTGTGATGCTTCATTTTCAGGATTCTGGCAATATTCTGTTAAAAAGAAATAAATTAACAATGTTATGGTCATACTATAAAGCGAAACATGTTGTTTCCTTTCATTACAAAATAAATGTCATCCTGAAAAGTTTTATTTGAGAACCCTAAATAATTCCCATATATTAAAACTATATCGGTTAGGAACCGAAAATTTTGTGTCAATGTAGCCTTATGTTACAGAAAGACGTAACATGATCCTGAAAGTTATCAGGTATCATGTGACCCGTCAGTGGCGTTTAACGGTTTTCACTCGGTCATCCCATGGCACTCACTGTGAAAGAACACGTTTCTCATTGAAACATTATATCAAGAATGCCTCCTTTTGGGAATGTCAAATTACATTTAAGTCACTTTGGTGGTTGTAAGAAACCTTTGAAATCAGTGATATGGAAACTGGTAAAGCAGTTCAGAGAGACAGGCTCCATGAAAGTTCAAAAACACATGTGCCAGTCAAGTGTTGTTTCACTGGCAAAGTGGGTGAAGTGCAAGAAAAATGGAAGCAAGTCCAAAAAAATCTCTCGAGACATTTAGAATAAGCTAACTGTTCATATTCCAGTGCAAGGAAGGCTGTTAAGACAATCAAACTTTATCCTTAAAAAATTCAAGCATTAATTAAAAAAATTAAATTAAAAGCAATAATCAGTGACAGTCAGCATTATTTCTCAAGAAATGCCACAGCAAAGAATAAACTTGTGCCTGCAACATGGTGGTGGACACTTTCAGAATTTATTATAGGTAATCAATTGTGTGGATCATGTCACGTCATTTTAACATTAGGCTCCATGTATTGAAAATAATAGGTTCCTAACTGCTATAGTTTTAGTGTATGGGAATTATTTTTTGTTCTTGTATAAAAATATCACACTTTATTATGAAATTTACTTAACCATAGACCTCTTGAAAACTGGAGAGGGTCCTACACTTGGAAATGCACCAAACATTCCCCCCATTACTATACTTTTTAAACTTGTCTTTTGACACAGATTGCATTGCTAATCACCCCCCCCCCACCACTCAGCCATACTGTATATCACGGAGAACATTTCTCTCGTAAGCAGAAAATACAGGAACATCCAAGTTCCTCCCACTAGCCTCATGGGCTTGCAGATGCCTTTTTAAGGGAGCAATTTCAGTCTGAATCGCTCTGCCCAATGTTTACCAAAATGGAAAAACCACTCCTGTTACCAATGCAATCTGTGTCGAAAGACTGCAAGGGGTGAGATTTCCAAGCATGGCCAGAAGTACCAGAGTCAACTTATGAATAAAAGTCGCTCTTTAAATTGCTTAATCACATCTAATGTTAATGCATTCCATTCTGTTTTGGAATTTTTACTGGAAGTTACACTTAAGACGCCTTTTCCCAGACAATGATGTACCATATAGGATTAGTGTAAAAGCATGAAATTGCAGCAGAGACTGTGCCACATTGTATGATTGGGCTTTTGAAAATATTTTATCGTTTCAATTACTTTAGTCCTTATCACAATAAATATTAGAATAAGGCATATAAAAAATATCATCCAATATAGTATATATGTTCAATTTGCTGCTTACCTAAACATGCAATGTGAGTGTTCAACATTTTGGCAACAGCAATGCGAACATTGGGCACCCTGTCACTCGCTAAAGTGAGCAGACCATGGAGAAAGAGGCGGCACCAGTCTGGGAGTGGCAGTGATCGCTCAGCAACAAGTTGGCCACATAGAAAGGCATATGACTGGCGGTGTGACCATGTTGGAGCTTGAGCAAACTTCTCTCTTAGCTGTTTGCTTAAGGTTTCTACATATTTTGGGTCACCCTCTGAACCTAGCTGTCTCACCAATTGGCACATCTGAAGAAAAAGTTAGAATTATTTATTTGTAAATACTGTGTAACAACTTATAAAAGAACAATGTATGGAAGTTCAAAAAATCTGAATACAGTATGATTAAGTAAAAGAATATTTGTGTGAATGATATACAGTTTATATTTTTTTAATAAATTTGCACAATAATATGCTTGGGAAGTGTCTTTCAAGAGACACCCTAAAGTACTTGCAGAAATTACATTAGTATTAAAAAGGCATAAACTGGCTGACAGCATATTACTTACTACAGTATAACAAGTGTGTCTGATGTGTACCACTTTGTCAGCCATAAGAGCTAATGCTATTGGTGCAATGAAGGATTGGCAGTCATGAGGAGAGAAGAGGTCAATTATATCCGCCAGCTGCGTGGCCAATTCCAGCCTGAAGCGCCAATTGTTTTCGTTGTCAGTGCGCAAGAACTCATCCATGCGTGGCAAGTAGTCTCGCCTATTTTGTGGTCGAAGAAGACGAAGAAAGTGAGCTAGATGTTTGAGTACACCAATGCGAACCTCATCGAGGTCCTTTATAAATCCATTGAATACAGGAACAAGGTCGCTCTGGGCTATCTCTTCTCCTAGGATTACTGCAAGCTCGTGTATACTGAAGGCTAACGTTCTTCGCACTTTCCACTGAAAAATTATAAGTTAACACCTATGATCATCTAGATAACTAAGCACTCACTAGTCGACTCCCTGATTAAAAAATATGAAAATGACAAAAAAAATCTGAATGCTCATATCCTAAGTATGTGGCAATTGTTCAAAGAAAATCACATGTACTCAGAGGATACATGACAAATTATATTTAGTAAAGCATTATTGCCTCAATCTTACCTGACTTAATACAAGAATCATAAGTATATACTTACATGCACATCACCTGCTAAAGTTTCGTAAGTGTCCTTTAAAACTGGCCAATTTTGTCTACCAAGAGTTAATGCCACAGCTGGTAATGAATAAGCACAATGGCGTGTAAGTTCATTGTCAACAGTTTCTGCCCTCATCGGGTCTGTCATGCTGATATAGTGCTCCAGTAATGTCTGAAAAGGGATACAGTATTATTATTTCCACAAGTGCAACAGTGTGAATTCCTAATTATGTTTCTTTATTCCTACCCTTCTTCATGCATATACATCCAAGACAATTCTAATAAATTTTCTGTACAGTACTCAGCTTTGAGATGAGAATTGTTGTAAATAAAGTTGGCAAACACTAGTATCTAAATACAATCTCCATTGTCAGTGTTTGAACCACAGAGGATGAGAAAGTACAGCCCTTATAGTCTACAAGCCAGTGCCAGGTTTCAGCACCCTTGGACAAATGATCAGGCGAGAAAAATGTCAATGATAGCAGTTGTGAGGGTGATGTATGGGGTTCATCACCAGGGTGGATGTAGTCTGAAAGTGGTGCAAGTCTATTACAGAACCATTTCCATATCACCGATTTCAAAGGTTTCATACGACCACCAAAGTGACATTTAAATACAATTTGACATTACTAAAGGATGTATTCTTGATGTAATATTCGACGAGAAACACGCGTTCTTTCAGTGTGCACCATGGCGTGACCGAGTGAAAAATGTTAAATGCCACCGACGGGTCACATGATACCTGATAACTCATTGGATCATGTTACGTCTTTCTGAAACATTATGCTACATTTACGCAAAATATTGGGTTCCTAATTGATAAAGTAATTAGTGTTTGGGAAATATTTAGGGTTCTCAAATGAAAAATCACCTCCATTAATTAATACTGAAAATTATTTAGTTAAAAATTAAAGTTCTTAAAATCCCACTCCCTCTATTTTCCTTATAATAGTTTGCAAAAATGTGGTGACAACTTTACCTTGGGTACAATATCCTGATTCAGATTAATATATTCTGTGGACCCTGTTGAATGTTCAGACATCGCTGAGGACATATGGTCACTACTTCCAGGAAGCATCACAGTGAATGGATCCATAATCCTTTGCGCTAATAATGATGGTTGTGAAGGTAAACTTGGTCTTCCACCAGGCATGTTCATGCTACAATCACTGGGTGACACAACATCCATCTCACGTTTCTTTATCTCTGTCACAGTGCCACCGGACATACTGACTTGAGCCTGAGTGAGCCGTGAAGCTAATATAGAAGGCTGGGGTTCATTTTTCAGCTGCATTGAGGTGACAGATGCAGCACAAACTTGGGCATATGTAGCTTGTTGTGGCTGTGGACTACTAACTTTTATAACATCTTTACTCTGAAAAGGCAAAATAAAACATTACAATTACTAAATTAAACTTAACTGACCCCAAAAATATCTGCAGTTTTACAAATCATGCAAACGTATTATACTGCAAAATCATATTAATATTGGAAATATGTATAAATTGCTTTAAGACCCTAACAATAATAATAATAATTAATAAAATGTACAGTAACATTGTCAAATTAAATGAGATTCAACTAAATATCCTGTGTTATGGAAGTTTTCTATCACTGGAGAGGAATGGTAACCTTGGGTGTGGGTAGAGTCCTTAATACTGTACAGTACCTGTCATCATTAAACAGAGTAGGTGGGACCAAGATGTGTAGGGGAATAGGAATTTGTAGGGGTTTTCAAAAATGATCATTTGATTTTGTCAACTGCATGTGAGACAAGAATGCAAGGTACTGCTCTTTAAATGTGACAAACAAACACACACACACACACACACAATTGTACTATAAATATATTTCTTGGTGAACTACAGTATAATTCATTATGTATCATGCATGTCACGTACTGTATGTGTGGAGGCCAACCTCATCACGTGCTAGTAGTGTGAAAGACTGAATTTAGCCAAAAAAAAAGTTGTAGGATGAAGGAACTAAAAATTGAATTTCAAAGGAAGCTGTGTGAAATACTGAATAGTGTGGCAGACGAATTTGGGCCGAGAAAAATAAAAAAATACTTATACAATCACCCGGTAAAGAAGCGCATGGGAGTGGAAGAGAAAGGGAGAGCATGGTGGACAATAACAGTGAGACATGGAAAACAAAGGAGTGTTAGACTTGAACTAAGAAGGTAAATAAGCTAGTTAAAACAAGTAAAATATGAGCAGAGGAGGATTTTGGCAAGATTATATGAAAACTTTCAAGAGAATAGTTCTCAGAGTTGTGGAAGGAGATGAAGAAATGCTAGAGAAAAGAGATGTGTTCTGGATAAGGAGGGAAAGATGCTGATGATAAATGTAAAGTTAGTAGATGGGAGAATACTTTAGAGATTTAATGGTCATGTAGGAAACAGGAAATAGGTATACTGTACTGATATAATAGTGGTTTCTACAAAGGAATGAATGATGTACATTGGAGAATACATTACACTAGAGGTAGGGAATGTAAAGAAATAATGTAGAGATGCCCAGCTTATTACACGTGATGACAAACCCAGTGATGTAGTCCGAGAATGAGACCGACACCATTCACAATTTTAGCATTTATGGATCATCACCAGAAGATCAACTACCAGGGAGCATTAGGTGGTTAAACTCATGGTGGGATATACTGAAAGGGCAGTGTTAAATATTGTGATGTTTACAATGATATATGACAAGGAAGGCAAGAGTAAGATGGAGAAACAGATAGGTTACATAGATGACTTAAGAGGTCTATAACCATTGTACTTGACAATATTTGCAGAGAAATTAGATAGGTACAGTACTACACATTGTATGTGTAATTTAAAGCACAGCTCAGTAGTTGTGTGTAATTCAACCCTTTAAGGAGTAATTTTGCACTTAATTTACTGAGCCAAGAGAAAGTCCTACCCCTCAATAGGTTAAGTATAGTAGTTATTGCATATGTAATTTTAAGTACAGTGGAATTATTTCATTCATGTGATTTATGAACCATTTGGGAATTAAAGAACTTACCTCACTATCCTTATGTGATTGTCTCTCCCCAGCAGAACTATCATACTTGCTGCTGTCCCTCGTAGACACTCCCTCTAATGAAGCTGCCAAGGCCTCTAACTCAGCCTGAATCATAAAAATTAAATTTGAAAAAAGAAATGAAATACTGTACGTATAATATAATTATCACTAACAAGCACACTACATATACAGTACTGTACCAAGTACCTTTACAACTGGGAAAAAATCCTGCTACTATAATGTACAATGAAGAATGGACCCCCTAGAGTGCTCTTAATTCACAATGTCAAAAGTTTAAAATGCCTCCTGTTCCAACATTTAAAATTGCACTCAGTATCAAGTGCCCATTGCTTGATCTAGCTTCACAATAATATCAGACAACTGTCAATCCCTGCCGCTCAGTGTGTGTCTGACCTTAATCATCATGGTGTTCACTGTCAGCTAACACTAATTATCTGGGCTATCAATCACAAGTGGTTAGCTCACTCAAATACCTGCATGCTTGGTAGGTCTTTGTAAAATTTTAAAGGCCTATAAGCTACCATGATAGTGATTATATGATACATTGCACAAGTGACTTTTAAAAATGTTTTGTGATATGTTTTAAGAGGGCCAATTTGATTCATACTGAACCTAACCTCAAAATTTTACTCTCTTTTTATGCAAGGCAAATCTGTTATTGTAACCACTGGTAATACAGTACAGTAAAAATATTTTGCAATTTAAAGAAACGTTAAAAGAACTTCTCAAAATATCGTTCAATTACAAAGATCACAGCTGTGTCTTATTATCATGTTCTTCTCTCATTCATCTTAATTATATGGAGTTATTAAACAAATTTCAAAATGTTAGTCTCAAAAACTTATAATGAAATGCAAAACCTCCTTCAAACATTTAAATGTTTGGAAAAAAATTAACAAATGTAAATCACAAAAAATGCAAAACCTTACTTACATAACTAAAGGAAGGTCACCTGTAAAATAGCACATGGTGATCAGCCCCAAGGTTCAACAACTACTGTGTGTTAACTCTGTAAATATCAATACAACATAAGTCTCTTCCATTCAGAAGGAACCATAAGTAATTTCCTCACCTCAATAGTGTTGATCGGTTCTTTTTCAGTTCTTTGCTTGTTGTGTGTGCTAGGTACAAAGGTGACACTTGGGTTTGCAGAATCTGTAGCCATAGTTAAATTCACCTGAGATTGATATGTGCCATCATTCTCCTGAACTTTTGCTTTGACACACACATTGGTTGTCTTCCCCATTATATCAATATCAACTTCAATTTTTGGAATAGGTAGTTCAACAGGCATAATGGGTGTACGCCAGTAATTGAAAGTGTTAAAGGCAGGATTGTTGTCTAAATGTACATGGAGGTGGCCTTCTGTGCCAGATACAGTCAGAGAGTTGCCCTGAGACTGTACCCCATCCATGGGGCTAGGTAATGTGTTGGGAGGTATGGCAGGTACTGGAGTATGTACAGTTTCAGTATGTGGGCTAGAGATAGCTTGTGAATCACTGGTGTGTTGAGAGGTCACAGTTGTCAGCTGTGAGGTGCTGCCTACAGTCTCTACCTTAGTTTGAGCTTCAGACTCAATACTGGAGAAGAGATAAGCTCGCGCTCTTCTCTCCTCGGCACTCTGGTCGTTATATACATCATGAGGGACTTGACTATCTGCCACACCACTGCACTCCTCTACCTCCATAGGTTCTGTCTTCAGTTGATCCCATCCTCTCCCTTCACATACACCTGCCTCATCACATTCATGAGCTTGTTGGCGATGCTGGTCATAATCATGAGAGATGTGGTCAGCAATTGCCCTGTCTTGCTCTTGTTGTAGCTGCTGGTAGTGGTACTCTTCATCCCTGTTACCATTGTCTCCTCTATCTGGCAACACTACTGTGTCTGCGTTCAACCTGAAAATGGTGGATACTTAGTATTTAACACTAACCTCAAAAATAAAGTGGACCTACATATTTTTACTTCATGTTTATAATCTAATACTGTATTGTATTGGGTAATTTCTTCTAGTTTAGACTGAGGGAAAATTTTCATCCTATATGGACAGTTTTTGATAGTTCAGTCATGGACTTCCATGATATACTGTATTATCAAAATTCCGAATTATACAATATTTGTATTATAGCTCCAGGTGCTGTACCAACTTAACCTGTGTGTGTGTGTTTGTGTATTGTACTAAAGTAGCCAGCAGCAACATGTGCCCACCTGGCAGTAACATCCACTCTTTCATTCATCACACCTGTGTTACTTCATGCACCCATCCGCGTGCTGCTACCATCATGTCTTGGTCATGTGGGCATTGCTGCATGTTTTTATAGAATTACTGGGCCGTGACCCCGCGCCTGAAATCAGCAGCTGCGGGCAACAGCTGCGAGGGCAGCTGGCGGGTCTGCCGCGGTCATCCTCTCCCCCCTCAACCCACCCTACACTACCCGAAAAATAAATAACTGTTTGGAATTACTCCCCCGGGGAAACTAAGTATGAATAATGAATGTATTAAAGCAGTATTAATAATGAATGTATTAACACAACAGTATACCTTGACAATATGCGAATGTGGTAATATGTAGGTGGTGTTAGTGATTACTAAGATGAGGGGGTTAAATGGCGAGGGGGGTTGTAAGGGGGCAAGCGGTGGAAAGGAGGGACGGTGGAGGTGGGTTAACACGTGCCCACACCCTCTCCTCCCCTTCTGCCCGCCCATTCCCACCCTGATTAACACCTCCCCTAAACTACTAACCTTCTTCACGTTCAACACGAAGTTTTAATCTCCAAAAATGGCTAAGTTTCCGGCATTAAAACGAAAGAAGAGAACGAGAGGGGAGTTGTTAATCAGACAGGGAGAGGTGGATTGTGGTATAAGGTCCACGTAAATAAGGGAGGCGAGTGTAGGGTGGGCAGCTTGGTGGTGGTGGGGGGGGGGGGCTGCTGTTGCTGCCAGCTGGGTTTCCTCACCTTCCACCATCGCCGTCCTCCACACTGTTCAAACAGGTATTCATGGTCCACAAGCCACGTCATAATATACTGTACTGCTGTTGTCTACTTGTCAACACTATACCTTCACCGTGACTTCTACATCACCGGGGAGAGAACTACGTCACATGTTCACTGACCTCGGAGTAACATGAAGGAATAAAATCACTTCTTTCTGTCAACACCTCGTGACTGCAGCAGTGTTGTTACGTCAAAACTTGGTAATAATAAGCTGGGCTATTTTAATTATTTATATTTCCATTTATGACAGAGGATAACCGTGAGGTTACACAAGGGAAGTTGCGAGTTCGACTTGCCGACGTACCATACATCTACCGCACTGCATGATCAATAATAATATGGAAATATTAAAGCGGCGCAGAGCTGCTACTACTGCCTGGCTACACGTGACGGCAACAACAGCCTGCCTGGGTGTATCGACGCGTCGTGGTGTAGTCTAATGTGTGCTTCACGCTGTAGCCAACACTTAATTTTGTTATCTATATTTCCGTTAATCTTTTATATCTGTAAACCAATTCACTAAACCTCTTTGAAAATGCGAGTCAATATAATATGAACAATAATTATATAATTCTGATTTAGTAAGTATGTATGTATGCCGAGTTTATGAATGAAATTTGCAAACGAAAAAAAAAGTTGCAATGGGTTTTGGTTGTATATAAAATATTCCAGAGTATTGTGTTATGTTGATAAAGGCAGCATCTTGTACGAGGCGGCAACACGGTCTAGCCTCGCCAGGGTGACGCCCGGGCCCCAAGTTCCCGACCACACCACCACCTACCACCTTCCCGCCCAACACCGCTGAAGGATGTCACGTCTCGGTGAATGTCAGGTTTCATTTTTATGCTCAGCCGCACCGTAAATAAATTCTCTACTTCATCCTTCTACCCCATCTAGGCCCCACTACTGTACCCGCTAATGCAGGGTGTGTGGTGTAAACGGGACTGCCCAGTATGGGCCAATAGGCCCGCTGCAGTTTCCTCCATTCTTATGTTCTTATGTTTTGTAACAGTATCCTAAATATACTACATTTAGTACCACAGATCTTTGTAATTCATAATAACGTCATGGTACAGGAGAATACACACGGACAATAACAGTTATACAGTACTTGGTCACAGATCAATTTATATACTGAGAGGATGAATATCCACACAATGCATTAACTGACGCATTTACGGACAATTGACATCCGCATTATATAATACAGTATACGTCTTTACTCTGATCCAAGTTGTGATATATTGACACAAAACTAAGCGGGTTGAAATTGAAACTGTATGTTCACCAATGATTCGTTTATCTATTTATTCTGGAGTACGGTAAATATCATTGGTAGAGATGAACTGGTGAGGTCCAACACAACAGCGGGTCTTGTGGGGCAGATCTCTTTAATCGTCATCTGTAGTAATGGACTTTAAACAATATATCTGAATGTTTCTCACTGCATTTGTATTAATGTACTTTATACAATATAAATGGATGCTTTCTAAGCTTTTTGATATAGAAATCATATTTTACGTGAAGGATGTTGGAGCAATTATTACTAAATACTGTACTGTACCGCCATCAAAGACTATTACACAATCTTAGAGATTTTTTAGCCTCAGATGATGTGTTTAGTCACTTGAGATGTTTAACGGTACATCCTGATATTGTCGAACCATTACAGCGACACGAACAACACCCCGCCTCAATATCCCAGCAGCTCCAATTACTTAAAGTAGTAATACCCTTTTAGGTTGGATTTTGTTCTTCTACTGTACAAGCTTATGGTGGGACGGGGTACGGCGACCACAGTAAGTGGAGACGGGGCGAGGGAGGGAGGTCGGCGTCAGACAGGAAACCTGCCCACCAGCAACTGCCTCAACAGTCTGCCACACGGGTCGCCACGCTACCACCCTGGCTGCCACCACCTTGAGGCTTGATGCTCAGGCTGACTTAAGAGGAGTCCCCTACCAGAGGATTTGCTCGCGATGGATGGTGATACTGCCACGCCGGAAACGGGGGGGAGGACACTGGGGAGAAGGCGTGGGGAAGGGCGGAAGTAGTGCACAGCTACACAGTATTTGGTGGGTGGCGAGGACGCCTCCTCCCTCCCTGTCACACACACGACCTCACCACGCACACCTCAACACTAGTTCCCCCACCACACACACACATCCCTCCCCTATTTTCCGGGACACAGGCGGACACCCCCCCAAACCTCAAATTACTATCGGACTGTCCACACCCATACATACAACTCCACGGCCAGCGGCTCAAAACTCACGCATATACGCACTGACACGACGCCAAGACAACATTACAGGATTAAGTTATGAGGTACAGTAGTTGTGTTCCGTCACGTGGACTGGGACACACCTGGCCACGTCAACCCTACTTATGGAGGCTACCTGGTTCTCTATTGGCTTTAACAATGTTCACTACCTGGCTAACAAGCTGAAGGAGGCCAGGCTGCCATACCCTGTACCGCACACCTGGTTACCGTGTTACCCGACCCACTTCCAGCCTGCCACACTACTTACACCCTCCTGTAGTACACCCAGCCAGCCACACTACCTACAACCCCGCCTGCAGTACACTCAGACGGCTACACTACCTACACCCAACTTAACTACCACACACTGTCACCATTTTTCACACTACACATTTATGTAACCCTAAACGCCCCTCATAGGAAAACATGGGCTGTGCCTTACCCCGAAAACCCTACACACTTGTTTTATCACCCTAACCACTTCTCACCTCTCATACTACCCCTTAACCATCACCCTAATCATCTCTCACACTTGTTAAATTGGGTTATTGTCTATTAAAAACACAGAGCACAATGTTACTTTCCACACATAGACCCGTGTGTGTGTTTACCATACATGTAAGTTAGCTCCAACACACGCACACACACGAGCATGTAAAATCACAAAGACAAGTTCACACCACACACACGAATGCGAGGCGTGAATCTACACTACTAACCTAACGTATCTGTATAAAGAATGTAGAACGAAACAAAAAATAATCAGACAACGAATCCAATTTTCAATTGAGTAATCGTGTCCAAATCCGAAGCTATAATATAAACATTACACCCGTTCTTAAGATACCCTCACCAACAGCGGCGCGAGGCGAGAGAGGGAGGTGAAGACGGTTGGCTGCTTCTGGTGGAGGAACATTGCTCCTGCTGGGGTGTGTGGGAGGAGGCGAGGCAGGAGGGAGGGAGGTAAGAAATGCAGGATGAAGGAAGGGAAAGATTTAGGTCGGAGAGTGTGAGGAACAGAGGGGAGAGGGAGGGCGAGAGGAACAGAAGGGAGGGAGAGCGTGAGGAACAATGGAGAGGGCAAGAGAGGAACAGCAGGGAGAGGGAGGGAGTGTGGCCGATCATGGTTCCACTGGTTGCCTTCACTTCCTCTCAACAGCCACCCTCTGCTTTCCCTCTCACACGCTACACAACACTCACCCCCACTCACTCACTACCACACAACACTCACTCCCACTCACCTGAAGATTAGCACCCACACCCATGATGATTGAACACCTTAACTCTACCTCAGGTTAGGTTAGGCGAAACAGATGGCGTGAGACGGTAAGAGGTAGGGGGGGGGGCCCTGTGAGAGGTAGGAGGACGAGGAGGTTGTGGGAGGTAGGGGAAAGAGGAGGCTGTGAGAGGTAGGGGAAGAAGAGGAGTCAGCGTCGTTTTCTCTACAGCTATGGGCGGGCTAGGGTAATGGGGTGAGCCTCGAGTGCGTGGGTAAGCATTGGAGCCAGTAGGTTAGAGAGTCCAGGTGGTGGGGGAAGTCCAGGTGGTGGGGGGGTTAGTCCAGGTGGGGTTGTGGAGGGAGGGGGTCCAGGTGGGGTTGTGGAGGGAGGGGGTCCAGGTGAGTGCCACAGTTAGGCCTACCAGAGAGGATCAAGTGGGTAAAAATAGTTTGTAGTTAGACGTCCAGTTCCACCCATCCACGCCCACCCAGCTATACACAACCGCCAACACGAAAAATGAATAAATAAATAAACTTTTAAGCTCAGGCGACACCAGAAGAGTGATTGCATACACCGACCATGTTTACACACACACACACACACCATAGACTGTGTGTGTGTGTGTGTGTGTCAAAAGATGTCTATCAATCCATCATCATCACCAATTTTACTTTTGTTTTTATTAGTTCCCAGCATCTCTCTCCTAATTAAATTTATAGTGTTCACATGTGATGTATAGTGTTCACGTGTGATGTACAGTGTTCACATGTGATGTATAGTGATTACATGTGATCTATAGTGTTTACATGTGATCTATAGTGTTTACATGTGATCTATAGTGTTTACATGTGATCTAATAATAATAAACGGTTTATTAATAGAGTTGCAGCCGGTGGCTGAAAATATACACTCTATTGTGTTTACATGTGATCTATAGTGCTTCAAGTGATCTATAGTGTTTACATATGACATCTGATGCACCATATTCTTACACTATACACGTTTATGAATGAATTATTATTACTACATAGGGAGAGAGAGAGAGATAAAAGAGAAGATAAGAATGAGAAAATGATAAGATATAAAAGAAGAGAGAGAGAGAATAAAAGATGAGATAAGAAAGAGAGAAGAGACCACCAATGTACTTACTCCTGGCTGTAGATAGAGGGGTCCTGCGGGGTGCCGATGACCAAGACGCCGTCCTCGTTATAGTGAAGACCCGTAACGCTGGCGTCCGCGAAGGTGCTGATGAAGGGACCCAGGTTTTGGAAGGCTGCCACCCGCACCCACCTGTACCAAAAACAATAAAAAAAACATTAAGCTTTCCATCTCTTGCCCAATACACTTTACACCCTCAGTTAGGTTAGGTTTGATAAGGTAAGGTTAGGTTAGATAAAATTAGGTTATGTTTGATAAGTTTAGGTTCGGTAGATAAAGTAGGGTTAGGTTTGATTAGGTATATCTAGGTTTGGTTTGGTAAGGTAAGGTTTGATAGGTAAAGTAGGGTTAGATTAGGTAAGGTTAGCGTTAGTATGTTAAATCACCAACTGGAATAAACTGGTACTAGCTCTCTAAGTGACCCCGTGTTTTAATAATATATACGGTACAATTACAGAGCCGTGTAGGGGGCGTCAACTCACCTGCTCTGGTCAGTAAGTAGCGACACGAACACGGGAGAGAGTTTGTTTTTTCTGGTAGACAGCGAACAGGCACAGGAAACACCCATGAACACCTCAGCACAAGCCTTCCTCACGCCCCACACACCGTCCTCACACAAACTCATGAACCTTGACACCTGGGGGACAAAAACACATTGCTGTAACTATTAAAAAAATCACCAATAAACACATTCTGTAATAATCTATACATTAATTAAAAAAATTTCTAAACACACTCACGAACCTCGACACCTGGGGAAAAAACATTGCTGTAACCCTCAATACACACATATAAACACATTACTGTAGTCCTTAGTACATACAACATTCTGTAATAATCTAAACATTTTCCTAAACACTAGCCGACATGGTGTTATAGTCCAGAATGATGTTAATTCACACTAGAAATTGTATTTTTTTTTACCTTATAAGTAGGTGATGGTGGTTATGCCTGTGTGTGTGTGTATCTGTCTGTACACCCCAGATATGTGTGTGTGTGTGTGTGTGTGTAGGCGTCAGCGAGATACATGAATGAACCATTAGGCAGGGAATGGCACTAGTAGTACTGGAGTACGGTGGGGGGTGGCGCTATACCATGAATGAGTGCACCCTGGGAGGTAAACAAGGGATGGAGGGGGCCAGGGGGGTGAAGAGGGGCGTGTGCTAGCTAGTTGTAAACACGACCACGACGTCATTCACTATTACAGTACCTGGTTTACCTGATTAGATTATCCCCAGCTTATTTTACCTGATTACACCCCAGCTTATTTTACCTGATTAGACATCCCAGCTTATTTTACCTGATTACACCCTAGCTTATTTTACCTGATTAGACATCCCAGCTTATTTTACCTGATTAAGCACCCCAGCTTATTTTATCTGATTAGACATCGCAGCTTATTTTACCTGATTACACCCCAGCTTATTTCACCTGATTAGACATCCCAGCTTATTTTACCTGATTATACACCCCAGCTTATTTCAACTGATGGTTAGACACCCCAAGCTTATTTCACCTGACGATTAAACCTAACCTAACCATAAACTACCATGGAATCCTTACCACAATCACAAACTACCATTATCAGATAATCACCTCGTTCGCTGGGATAGTTCATGTGAGAGAGAGAGAGAGAGAAACCCGGGTGGTTGAAATACAGTGCAGTTTAGGCATTTGTTCAATGTATCAACCGCAAGATACTGCCCCACACTCGCTTGGGTCAACACAGATAAAGTGATGCAGTAAACCTGTGTCCCTTACCACCCCGCCACGACACCCCCCCCTCCCCCTCCCCTCTCACCATAGATGGAAGGAGCAGTAACACCAGTGTGCCCTTCTTACCCCCTTACCATAGATGGATAGATACAGATGGATGGATGGTCGAAGGATAGATGGTTGGACAGTCAGTACCCCTCCCCACCACCTTACTGTAGACATATAGATAGTTTCCAAAACGTGCCCATATTATAATAGAGACCTCGTGTGTGTGTGTGTGGGTAGGCGTTTATATTAGTATTAATAGCATAATTCATCTCGCTTCTCTATAGTGCGTGTTGGTAGTCAGGGGTAGTACTAGTAGTGGTGGTGAGGAATAGTAGTAATGAATAGTGATAGCGGCTTTAGATAGTAGTAGTTGTCCTTAAACGCTACATCTAAAACCAATACTTGAGTGACTTCAGCAAAGAGAGAGAGAGAGAGAGAGAGAGTGGCGAAAGGTACCGCATATCCTCTTTTTTCTCTTATTCCTCCTCCTCTTTTCTCTCTTCCTGTCTCCTCTTCTTTCCCCTTTCCTCTCTTCTTCCTCCTCCCTTCTCTCCCATCCCCCTTTCTTTTTTCCTCCTCTTTCCGTTCTTCCTCCACCTATTTCCCCTTCCCTCATAATTCCATTCCTCCTCTTCCCCCTCCAGCTCCCAGAGAGTGACCGATGACAGAGTGGTGCCAGCTGCCAAGACGGGGGCCGGGCAGGGCCTTCACCATGTGTGGCCTAACAATATGACTTCACCAATAAAATGGAGGAGGGAGGCGCGGCCACTCACCACCCTGGGGCGAGGTGATGGGGGGGATGGAAAGAGAGGGGTGATGCGGTGGGGGAAAGAGAGGGATAAAGGGTTCGTTGGGGGTGATGGTGAGAGGAAAAAGATAGGCAGGCAGGCAGGGAGGGAGGGAAGTTAGGATGGAAAAAGGGAGGCGGAGGGAAGATGTGAAACTGACATGGTAGGGAGGGCAGACAAGGCGTGGGGGTGAATACAGAAGGTGTGGGGTGAATACAGTAGGCGCGGGGTGAATGCAGAAGGCGTGGGGGTGAATACAGGTGTGGAGTGAATGCAGAAGGCGTGGGGTGAATGCAGAAGGCTTGGGGCGAATACAGAAGGCGTTGGGATGAATACAATAGACGCGGGGTGAATGTAAAAGGCTTGGGGTGAATGCAGGCGTGGGGCGAATACAGAAGGCGTGGGGGTGAAAACAGAAGGCATGGGGTGAAGAGACAGCGCGGGGAGGATAGTATGTTACAACAGGGTGTACAGACATAGACTGGCCTGCTTGTGACTCCCCCAATGTGTCTATACCTCTCCTGCAGCAGAGCAAGGGACTGGTGATGGTAGTGGGGGTGATGGCTGGAGAGAGTGGGCCCCAACCACACGGCGGGAGGTGAGTGAGAGGAGGAGGTCTACCCCAGCAGCAGCAGTGGTGAGGATGCGTATGATGGATCAATACACCCACTTCTCTGTACCGGCACATATACACATGCCACCGCTCCTCCCTTCCCCTCCTCTCTACCCTCCTTCACCTCACCCTCCTCTCTCATACTGTCACCTTCCTCTAGTTTTCTGTGTGTGTATGTATGTTGCCTCCCCACACTACTACTACTACTCCTCCTCCTTTACCTCCTTTTCTTCTCTCACAGCCCAACCACCCTCTCCCCACAACTTGACCCACCTCCCCAAAACCCAACCCACCTCCTGCACAGGCCAGCCCACCTCCTCACAACACCGCTCTTCAAGCTCGAGTAACGTCTTAACCCCTCGAGTATAATGTATTAACTCCTCGAGTATGACGTCTTAACCCCTAAAGTATGACGTCTTAACCCTCGAGTATGACGTCTTAACCCCTAGAGTATGACGTCTTAACCCTCGACTATGACGTCTTAACCCTCGAGTATGACGTTTTAACCCCTCGAGTATGACGTCTTAACCCCTCGAGTATGACGTCTTCCCGTTGACGTCTAACCCTCGAGTAGCGTCTTAACCCTCGAGTATGACGTCTTAACCCCTCGAGTATGACGTCTTAACCCCTCGAGTATGACGTCTTAACCCTCGAGAGTATTGTATTAACTCCTCGAGTATGACGTTTTAACCCCTCGAGTTTGACGTTTTAACCCCCGAGTATGACGTTTTAACCCTCGAATATAATGTTAAACCCCCGAATAACCTCGAGTATGACGTTTTAACCCCTCGAGTATGACGACTTAACCCCTTGAGTACAATATCATCGCTCTCACCAAACCAGACCTATCCTAACCCAACCTAGACCTATCCTAACCCAAACCAGACCTATCCTAACCCAACCTAGACCTATCCTAACCCAACCTAGACCTATCCTAACATCCTCAAATCCAACAAACACCAATCTTAATAGGCTCCAAATACCCCCTCCCTATTATAACAGGTCCCCCCAACGTTAATAGTTAAAATTGGCTGACCTATTAATAACGGGTCATCTCTCTCTCTCTCCAACAAAAATAATAACAACCACTACACCACCACCAATAACGACCATACCACCACCACCAACCACAACAATCTTGGTCGTTTACACACCTGAGTATAAACAGTTAATTAAGGCCTTTGTTTACTATGAGGGAGTACGTATGTAAACAAGGTTTCTTAATGAAGAGAAAATAGGATTTTTTTTTGTGTCTATGACCATTAGTGAGCGATGATTATTATTATTATTATTATTATTATTATAATTATTATTATTATTATTATTATTATTTTCGTTATTATTATTATTTTCGTTATTATTATTTTCGTTATTATTTTCGTTATTATTGTTTTCGTTATTATTATACTGTTGTTGTTGTTGTTAATGTAATTCTTAGGGCATACCGTGACTGTATCTTAATTAAAGTGTACAGTTTCGGTGTGTGTGTTTGTGTTTGTGTGTGTGTGTTATTAACTCCCTCTACACATACGATTAACGTTTTCTGTACGTACACACACACATTAACGCATTCTATATACATAAACACTATATTAACGCTTCTTTAAACACATACAAACTATTAACTCCTGTGCACACACTAACTTCGGTAAACACACATAATAAACTTTTACACACACACACACACACACACACACACACACACACACACACACACACACACACACACACACACACACACACACACACACACACACACACACACACACACACCTTTCCGACTCGTTAACAGATATCTTGGATCACTTGAAGATGACTAGACACCCCAGCTTCACTACCCTAACCTAACTAGTAGTTAACTTCCCTCCAGTGAACCTAACCTAACCGCTCTTCTCTCCCTCGTTTTTCTTCTTCTTTCTTCCTCCCTCATCTACTTTCTCTCCTTTTCCCTTTCTTATTCTCTTCTCTCCCTCTCATCTTCCTTTTCTCCTCTCCTCTCTTTCCTCATCACACTCTTCTCCCCATGACGGATGCCTCAAGTCAGACGCCCACGTTATCAAAGAGCGAGCGGGCAGACGTTCGACGGGCGAAAGCTTCCATGAGCGTGTCATTTTGGAGCGGAAGGGAACGCCAGGCGCTGTTGACTGCTCGTGATAGCGGTCGATGTTACAGGTAAGAGTTTGATTTTCCTGGTTGAAATTGAGTCTTATTTTGCCTTCATGGTGGCGATGGTTAAATAATAATAATAACTATCAACAACAACAATAATACGAAAATATTGCAAGACACAACGGTGGAGGGCGGGGGGACGTTGGAAGACACAGGGAGGGAAATATTGCAATACAGGAAAATATTGCCAAATACGCTTATTGGTTTATTAAAGTGAGTTGGCAACTTAAGTGGAAGGGCTGAAGGAGGAAGGGGGTGACGAGGTTTGGAGGGAGGGAGGTGACAGGGCCGGAGGGAGGAAGTGACGGCTTGGCGGGAGGGAGGGAGGTGACAGTAAGCCAGGGGTAGCCAAGGGAGGGCGCGGGCGTGGAGCTCACGTGTAGGCGGCAAAACAGGTGCAGGTTTAGCCGGACGCGGGCGTGTTGGGACGCGGGCGTGGTGTGGCGCAGGCGTGGTGGAGCGGGCGTGGTAAAGCAGTTTGCCAGGGGCGCGGGAGTTAGTGCTGAGAGCGAGGCTGCCTGAAGGCCTACAGTATATCATGTATGACAGACACCACTAACTGTGTCCTGCAGGGAGAGGGGGTGGTAGATTGCAGGAGGTTAGAGGGAGCAGCGGGAGGGAGGAGGGAGGGCGGTGCGAGGCTGGCAGAGAGGAGGCGCTGCCCCCGTTATGTGTACTAGCGTGTGTACGCTGCCACCCGCAGCGGCTGCGTGTGTATGCGTGTGTCAAGTGGTGGTGTGTGCGTGTGTTGCCTTAAAGGTGGCCGGCCAGGCCGAGGCGGCCTCCCTTTGATCCCACGCGCTCCCCATGCCTGCTGACTCTCCTCCTCCCTGCCTGCCTGCCTGCTGGCCTGTAGCCTGCCTCCGTCCATCCTGCAGCCCTGCCTCCTGGCCTGTAGCGTACCTCCCGCCTGCTGACCCTGCAGCCTGTCCAATGACCCTGTAGCCCTCCTCCCCACTCCCACCCTAGTACAGTAGCCCTCCTCCCTACCCCACCTCAGTACAGTGCCCCTCCTCCCCACCCCTACCCAAGTATAGTAGGCCCTCCTCCCACCCTACCTCAGTACAGTAGCCCCTCCTCCCTACCTTACCTCAGTAGAGTAGCCCCTCCCCACCCCACCCCAGTACAGTAGCCTCTCCTCCCTACCCTACCTCAGTACAGTAGCCCCTCCTCCCTACCCACCTCAGTACAGTAGCCCCTCCTCCCTACCCTACCCTCAGTACAGTAGCCGCCCTCCACCAGTACAGTAGCCCTCCTCCCACCCCACCCTCAGTACAGTAGCCCCTCCTCCCCCACCCCTACCTCAGTGCACAGTAGCCCTCCCCACCCCACCTCAGTACAGTAGCCCTCCACCCTACCCCACCTCAGTACAGTAGCCCTCCTCCCTACCCTACCTCAGTACAGTAGCCCCTCCTCCCTACCCCACCTCAGTACAGTAGCCCTCCCTCCCCACTCCCCACCTCAGTACAGTAGCCCTCCCTCCCCTACCTCAGTACAGTAGCCCCCCTCCCTACCCTACCTCAGTACAGTAGCCGCCCCCTCCACCAGTCACAGTAGCCCTCCCTCACTCCCACCTCAGTACAGTAGCCGCCCTCCACCCAGTACAGTAGCCCCTCCTCCCTACCCTACCTCAGTACAGTAGCCTCCCCACCCTACCCCTCAGTACAGCAGCCCTCCACCAGTACAGTAGCCCCACCCCACCCCAGCACAGTAGCCGCCCCTCCACCAGTACAGTAGCCCTCCCCTACCCCACCCCAGTACAGTAGCCCTCCCCACCCCTCTACCTCAGTACAGTAGCCCCTCCTCCCTACCCTACCTCAGTACAGTAGCCCCTCCTCCCCACCCTACCTCGTACAGTAGCCCCTCCCTCCCTACCCTACTCAGTACAGTAGCCCCTCCTCCCTACCCTACCTCAGTACAGTAGCCCCTCCTCCCTACCCTACCTCAGTACAGTAGCCCTCCTCCCTACCCTACCTCAGTACAGTAGCCCCTCCTCCCTACCCTACCTCAGTACAGTAGCCGCCCCTCCACCAGTACAGTAGGCCCCCCTCCAAACAAGTCCCCATTTACACTGTCAAAATTACCACATTACATAAGTACATAGCCTGTGGCCATACATGACCTCCAGCTGTAACCTTGACCTTAGAGAGAGAGAGAGAAAAGAGAGAGAGAGAGAGACTACTCACCAGGATGTCTTCAGTAGGATGGGTGCCCACTACGCTGCAGAAGTCACCGAAGTTAGAGGCACACACTTTGCGGACCTGGAAGAGCGCGTCGGAACACAGGCGGGTGAACCTCTCCAGGAAGAGTCGCTCAGTCATCTCTCTCCCGATCAGCGGCGCCATCTTGGACATGAGCTGTAGTACACATAAGAGATGAAATGACGCAATCAATGTCATGCCACACCTTGACCTGCGGAGGGATGCACACACACACACACACACACACACACACACACACACACACACACACACACACACTCTCTCTCTTAATTATACTTCAGAATCCATAAACACACAGTCACCAACATACACACACACTTTCCCCATCTGTACTTTGGTATCCATTAACTCTGGGTGGACTGGGAGACTGCCCTGGGATCGATCTAGTGAACATTAGGATGGGAGGCGAGTACCGTTACCACTCAGCCACCACACGTTTAACCTTCCCCTTGAGGATGATGACTTAACCCCCTTGAAGATGACTTAACACTTAAAGATGATGTCTTATCCGCCCTTAGAGAGGTAGTTAACACCATCCTCTCCAAAGAGCTAATTACAGGTGCACCAATGGTTCAACTCGACCAACGTGGTAATTAGTGTACAGTCGTTAACCCTCACAGCTGACATTTTACGCACACATATTACACAGTATACACAAGTAAACATACACATATATAATTATTCACATGCACACATACATTACATATACATACATATCCACAAGCTTACATACATCTACAGGTACACATAACTCTACTCATACACAGACATGGATATTCACATGCATACATAATTATACTGTACACATACATCCACTTACATACATGGTCAATTTAAAGGTTATTTTGACTAACATACATACACACACACACACACACACATCACCTCTCTACACTAACTTCTAAAAATACATTTCCCTATATTTTAAGACACCCCATTTATCAGTTCCTAATAATATGTCAATATAAGAATTAAATACCTGATATGTGAATTAAACTCCTAAATTGCCCATGTATGTATGTATGTATGGATGTATGTTAATCGAAATAAAACTGTCCTGTACACACACCACTTTTTTTTACATTAATATGACCAAATTCTGTTTAAAGGTATAAAACATTTCCTTATAATATATATTGTCTTTTGCACATCCTAAAACCCGCCCCTTATGTACTGTCAACATATAACGGAGATGTACTTAAACCAATTCTAAACCAACCAATCTTAAACCACTTCGTATCAGTCCCTGCTTTTGGTGTCCATAGTAACTGTCACAATGGGTGGAATGTGATTGGTTGATGAATTTGTCATTTAACCACCAGCAACCAATCAAATTCCCCCTTGCTGTTGGTTGGTGAGTCACTGAACCACCAGTAACCAATCAAATTCCTCCTTACTATTGGTTGGTAAGTCACTTTACCACCAGCAACCAATCAAATTCCTCCTTGCTGTTGGTTGGGGAGTCGCTGAACCACCAGCAACCAATCAAATTCCTCCTTGTTGTTGGTTGGTGAGTCACTGAACCACCAGCAACCAATCAAATTCCTCCTTGTTGTTGGTTGGTGAGTCACTGAACCACCAGCAACCAATCAAATTCCTCCTTGTTGTTGGTTGGTGAGTCACTGAACCACCAGCAACCAATCAAATTCCTCCTTGCTGTTGGTTGGTGAGTCACTGAACCACCAGTAACCAATCAAATTCCTCCTTACTATTGGTTGGTAAGTCACTTTACCACCAGCAACCAATCAAATTCCTCCTTGCTGTTGGTTGGAGTCGCTGAACCACCAGCAACCAATCAAATTCCTCCTGTTGTTGGTTGGTGAGTCACTGAACCACCAGCAACCAATCAAATTCCTCCTTGTTGGTTGTGAGTCACTGAACCACCAGCAACCAATCAAATTCCTCCTTGTTGTTGGTTGGTGAGTCACTGAACCACCAGCAACCAATCAAATTCCTCCTTGTTGTTGGTTGGTGAGTCACTGAACCACCAGCAACCAATCAAATTCCTCGATTAGTAAACAATTACTTAGAATGCCAGAGAAGTGAGTGGAGCTTAAGGGAATGGCACCATGGCACCTCAGACAAGAGGGCCAGTTGCTATGGGTGGGTTGTGCTCATTAAGCCACCCAGCTTATTACACCTAATAATTAAACACCTTAAAACTACACCTGGGGGTTAGGTTAGGTTGATGGTAAACAAACCCTTAACATTAACACCTGGAAAAATATTACATCACAAATAAATAAATACATCGATCTAACATAACATAATATCTCAGGTTGGAGGAACAAAGACCTACCACACTGACTCCCTTCAGGGGTGGTGACGGTGAGGAGGTGGTGGTGGTGGGAGGAGGTGGTGGTGGTGAGGTGGTGGTGGCAGGAGGAGGTGGTGGTGGTGGTGAGGAGGTGGTGGTGAGGTGGTGGTGGCGGTGGGAGGAGGTGGTGGTGGTGGAGAGGTGGTGATGGTGAGGTGGTGGGTGGTGGTGGTGATGAGGAGGAGGTGGTGATGGTGAGGTGGTGGTGGTGGTGATGGGAGGAGGTGGTGATGGTGAGGAGGTGGTGATGGTGAGGTGGTAGTGAGGGTGAGGTGGTGGTACGGTGAGGAGGTGGCGGTGGTGATTGGCAACGTGGCACCGCTCATCAAAGCTGGCTGTGATATGAACCCAATCCACACATCACATCCACTCTGACAAGGGCAACACGTGCACTCTTCTTCACCCCGATACAGTACGTGCACCTTCTTCACCCCGATACAGCACGTGCACTCTTCTTCACCCCGATACAGTACGTGCACTCTTCTTCACCCCGATACAGCACGTACTTTCTTCACCCCGATACAGCACGTGCACTCTTCACCCCGATACAGCACGTGCACTCTTCTTCACCCCTGATACAGCACGTGCACTCTTCACCCCCGATACAGTACGTGCACTCTTCTTCACCCCGATACAGCACGTGCACTCTTCTTCACCCCGATACACGTGCACTCTTCTTCACCCCGATACAAGAGTGCACTCTTTCTTCACCCCGATACAGCACGTGCACTCTTCTTCACCCCGATACAGCACGTGCACCTCTTCTTCACCCCGATACAGTACGCACTCTTCTTCACCCGATACAGCACGTGCACTCTTCACCCCGATACAGCACGTGCACTCTTCTTCACCCCGATACAGCACGTGCACTCTTCTTCACCCCGATACAGTACGTGCACTCTTCTTCACCCCGATACAGCACGCACTCTTCTTCACCCCGATACAGCACGTGCACTCTTCACCCCGATACAGCACGTGCACTCTTCACCCCGATACAGCACGTGCACTCTTCTTCACCCCGATACAGCACGTGCACTCTTCTTCACCCCGATACAGCACGTGCACTCTTTCTTCACCCCGATACAGCACGTGCACTCTTCTTCACCCCGATACAAGAGTGCACTTTCTTCACCCCGATACAGCACGTGCACTTTCTTCACCCCGATACAGCACGTACCTTCTTTCACCCCGATACAGTACGTGCACTCTTTTCACCCCGATACAGCACGTGCACTCTTCTTCACCCCGATACAGCACGTGCACTCTTCTTCACCCCGATACAGTACGTGCACTCTTCTTCACCCGATACAGCACGTGCACTTTCTTCACCCCCGATACAGCACGTGCACTCTTCTTCACCCCGATACAGCACGTGCACTACCCCGATACAGCGTGCACTCTTCTTCACCCCGATACAGCATGCACTCTTTCACCCCGATACAGCACGTGCACTCTTCTTCACCCCGATACACGCACTCTTCTTCACCCCGATACAAGAGTGCACAGCCTCGACAATCTCTTCGTCTTGTGCCGTTATCTTCTGTACAGCGTTTCACCTGAAGATTACTTCCCTAATTTCAACCAAAGACTACCTGGGAATTTGTCGCTTGATGTTAGGGTTAGGTTAGAGTTGGTTGGGTTAGTGTTGCGTTACGTTAGGTTTATGCTGTGTTAGGTTAGGTTTTGGTTAGGTAAGATAATGGGTGAATGGTTGTGGTGGTAGTGAATGGTTGTGGTGGTAGTGAATGGTTGTGGTGGTAGTGAATGGTTGTGGTGGTAGTGTAAGTGGTGGTCGTGGTAGTGTAAGTGAGTAGTCGTACTAAGTGGTGCTGGTGTAGTATTGGTGCCGGGAAAGTCGGGCTGGCAGTCAGCTGGTGTAGTATTAGTGCCAGGGAAGTCAGGCAGGCAGTCAGCTGGTGTAGCATTAGTGCCGGGGAAGTCAGGCAGGCAGTCAGCTGGTGTAGCATTAGTGCCGGGGAAGTCAGGCAGGCAGTCAGCTGGTGTAGTATTAGTGCCGGGGAAGTCAGGCAGGCAGTCAGCTGGTAGCATTAGAGGGAAGTCAGGCAGGCAGTCAGCTGGTGTAGCATTAGTGCCGGGGAAGTCAGGCAGGCAGTCAGCTGGTGTAGTATTAGTGCCGGGGAAGTCAGGCAGGCAGTCAGCTGGTGTAGTATTAGTGCCGGGGAAGTCAGGAGGCAGTCAGTTGGTGTAGCATTAGTGCCGGGAAAGTCCTGGCAGTCAGCTGGTGTAGTATTAGTGCCAGGGAAGTCAGGCAGGCAGTCAGCTGGTGTAGCATTAGTGCCGGGGAAGTCAGGCAGGCAGTCAGCTGGTGTAGCATTAGTGCCGGGGAAGTCAGGCAGGCAGTCAGCTGGTGTAGTATTAGTGCCGGGAAGTCAGGCAGGCAGTCAGCTGGTGTAGTATTAGTGCCGGGGAAGTCAGGCAGGCAGTCAGTTGGTGTAGCATTAGTGCCGGGAAAGTCGGGCTGGCAGTCAGCTGGTGTAGTATTAGTGCCAGGAAGTCAGGCAGGCAGTCAGCTGGTGTAGCATTAGTGCCGGGGAAGTCAGGCAGGCAGTCAGCTGGTGTAGCATTAGTGCCAGGGAAGTCAGGCAGGCAGTCAGCTGGTGTAGCATTAGTGCCGGGGAAGTCAGGCAGGCAGTCAGCTGGTGTAGCATTAGTGCCGGGGAAGTCAGGCAGGCAGTCAGTTGGTGTAGCATTAGTGCCGGGGAAGTCAGGCAGGCAGTCAGCTGGTGTAGCATTAGTGCCGGGGAGTCAGGCAGGCAGTCAGCTGGTGTAGCATTAGTGCCGGGGAGTCAGGCAGGCA